CGAAACACTAGAGCCAGCTCGCAGGCTAAACAGACGGCGGTAAAAGGTTTATGGCCAGCGGTTGGGCTGGCCTCGATTTTGCTTGGCAACTCTTAGCATTTAGAGCAGGGTTTTGCGGTTTTAACAACTTCGAGCAAATTTTTGCCTATCCGGAGCAATTTTTGAGCTGATGATAGGTTTAGAGAACATATCAAGTACGGAAAAGTCGACTATCTAAAAAACGTGTAGCCTTACCCTCCCCCACCAAGGTGAAACGGAGGCGAGGCTTCCGTTTTTAGCTAAAATGACGTTCCGCTGGACGTCAAATGATCGTTGTATTTTGTTCCGTTGGACTGAAGTATGTAACCTTAAATGTCGCCCATATTTACGTGCAACTCTTTAAAGATAAGTTTCCAGCTACTTTTTCTTGACCGATGTTAGCAATTATTGTGAATAACGAAAATTAAAGCCTTTGACGTTGATCTCAAAATATCAAGACATGTATGTAGCAACTTTAGAAAGTTAAGTAGAAACTTATTGGATTTTCAGAAATTTGTTGGCAACTTTTTTGGCATTCCAATGAGCAACTTTTCAGCATTTTACGAACACAATCGGCTAGCGGCGGTGCAGTAGACCACCGGTTTATATAATTAACCAGCTTTCATTCAAACCCTTGGGGCCCGCTTCTCAAAAGTCCCGTTAAGTTAACGGGCCCAAAGCCATATTTTGAACTCAAAATTTAAAGAATAGATAAACAGGTTCTGGCTCCCTCAGTATTCCATTTTGTTTCTTTAGCTGACAGTTTTATTGCAAAACTTACAAAACTTTTCGAAACCATCCGATCTTGAATGAAAATAGATCAGCTTTACGGGCCCGTTAAATTGCCGGAATCTTCGAGAAACGGGCCCCTGGACCTCGGTGTCTTAATGATAGGCTGTCAAACTGACAAAAACGTGTAATATGGTCATAAATACTGATCATGACGTCAAATAATGTAAGTATGTAAGTATAGAATGTCCAGACGGCAATTTTAATTCAGTCCCGACTCAGGAGATCTCATAAGCTGGGCTAGTTTGTAACAAGTTTCTATGAATCTATAAAACTATATACATTCAGTCTGATCGGTGGCATACTTTTTAATTTTTTTTTCCTCATCTAATCAATCTTGTCAGTATGGCTAGTTCACTGTGCTTCCTTCAACGTCATTTACAAATTGACGTCACATAATGATAACTTTTTATTTGGATCTTTTGCCATAAAATTATATTCCTTATATATAGTTTTAACCTTTGAGAGCCGATTGTTATGTAGACCTCAAAATATTCCCTTCCATTTGTAATCGAAACTGAGATCACAAGGTGCCGGGGAAGAATCCATTATGATATCTTGTGGTGGTCCATTATTAATTACATGCATGCTTTAGTATTTTCTCTCGATTTTAATTGGGTATTCCAGGATTTCTTTTGAGATTTCCCGGCCATTATATATTTAGGTGGTAATGAGATAAATAAATAAAATGGAATATTCATGCAAAATATCGTCAATTTAAAAGGCGAAAATACGTCGGGCACATGACTTTGGTCGATCGCCACGATCAGCATAAAAAACCACACAGGGCGTCTCCGTTTCCGGAGTATGCACGTGCGCTGATGTACGAGTATCAAGCAGCTCTTTTTAAAGGAATTGTTTTGACTATCTATGAGAAGACGCCCATATCTTAGAATAATACCATCTACCATCTACGATGTCACTTTTGAAGGAAACGGAGATTATCTTCTACAAAATGCCGGAATTGTTCCTAAATATTAACAGGGGAATAACACTCTCACAGAAGATGGTATTAGCGACACCTAGGCTTAAAAGAATATATGATATCCTATCGGTTTACAACAACAGGAAGTAGACGTAATAGGTACCTTTTGGGATCTTTTATTCAAATTTTGACGCGTACATAGGATAGTCACCTTGATTTAATCTTAAAATCATCGTGAAACGTACATGTATATATCTTTCTATCCGGCTCTGTACAACTACAGGAGCCCATTACTACAGGAGCCCATGAGAAATGGGCTCCTGACACCTACGATAATAAAGCTACGGTGATCTACGGTAAATTAAATACATAGATAAATAAGTACCAAATACATGAAAAAATGACATATTTTGAAAAATGCCAAGTGTAGTGTTCCTTTGTTCTCCATCATACGTTTTGTGAAAGTATTTAAGGGAAAACAGCATGTATGAGTTACCAAGCGGATTCATATGGTTAATATTCAGTTCCCGGAAAACGCAAAAAAGCGAAACCATGTGATCAGGTGGGCCACGCGGTGGCTAATTAAATCATGAGATGCCCTAAACATTTCACATTATGGTTCACGTACTGAAAAAGAAAAAAAAAACTTAACACATACTTTATATTTTGAGTTTCCCAAAACAATTCGTAACAGCAGAAGCGATTGAAGGAAATAAAATTTAATCACCCTAATTTCTCCGCCTAAAACTGTACTCTTTGTATTTATGAGAACCTGTGAACCGTTTTGCTTGTTTTATCGAAACGCGGACAAAATAGTTGGCCAGCATCAAGCCATATAACCTGACGTTTATCACGGTGGTTAAATTATTTTTTATCATCTAGAGGTAAATGAACTATGAATGACTTACGCCAGCCAACGCACTGTGGCGCGTGACGTTCCTCATCGCCGGTAGCAAAAATCTACGAGCGTGAACTTTGGTCACTGCCACACACAGCAGACTGTTTTTCCGAGAACAGCATAGCCCCCGACCCAGGCTCCTCACGGCCATGCAGTACCCCACAAGACTGTAAGCGCTTTTCATTCAAAAAAATTTTGGAATTATCACCGGTCGACTGGTCGAAAAGAACGCGTCCTACGCTAGTATTTGAGGTCGCGTGCTCTGTATCACCAAGCATGCTGAGTGCATTTCGTTGTGTTTCGAAATGGCGGACGTTTTGAACATTTTCGCGGCAGAAGAACCATAGAGTTCTCGAAGCCAGTTCTGCCTCGGCCTTTCTCACCACAGCTAACAGTTTTTGAAGGCAAAACTAGGGTGGGGTGTACTCTTAGACACCCTTTCTTATTTACGTTCGCGTATATAAAGTATATCATAGTTATTAAATCATCACAGCTTCTTTCTCAGATTAAATTTACACCGAAGTACATTTTTCTGTATTCGTGGTTAATCCTGCAGTCCTGCACAGTTTGACATCAGATTCTTGTGCCTTTGACAAATGAGAAGACGAATCCGTTTTAAGACCGTTCCGGTTCGGCCGCTGCTTCAGAGATTGTGCTCGAATGACAAACCAGAAGACGAATCCGTTTCAAAACCGTTCCGGTTTGGCCGCTGCTTCAGAGATTGTGCTCGAATGACAAAACAAAAGACGAATCTGTTTTAAGACCGTTTGTACTCGAATGCTTAAAAATCCGGAATCGAAAAAAAAAAAAAAGAGCTTCTTCTGTAGGTAAAACATAAAAGTTCCTTTAATAGGACGGGTTCAGTCGGATAGCTCCTCACCCTATATCTGACACCGAGAAAAATTAAAATATTCTGATCAGCATATTTTTGTTTATTTGCTGGAATCTATTTCAATTTCTTTCGATCCATTTTTTTTTTGTCGGAGATTGCTCTTCTCATAGGAATCGCTTTTTTCATTTTTCTTATTTTTTTCTTCTTTTTTCTTTCTTCAAATTTTTTTTTTTTATTTTTTTGTGGAAATTTTTAGATGATTGAAAATTTAAAATAAAAGGAGAGAAAACTGGGTCCTGTTGTAAAAAAAAACAAAACAAAACAAATAGCAGCAAAGTGGTGTTAATTATAGAGTATTCTATTTCTGGAATTTAAACTCGCACCTTTTGTTTAATCCATAAGGATTGATTTTGCACAGTTAAGCACACCAAAAAGCCTCTCTCAGACTTTCATTCTTTTCCAGATGAGTTGGGGAATGTCATGGGAATTGCACTATCCCAGATTCTGAGACTGAACATTGTCATCTTTACATCACTGGACCACATGCCTGTAGTACCAGTTTCCCCATTGTTGCCTTGCACAGCTACCAAGGCGATTTTTCTGGGATACAGTATTGGTCAACCAGAATTATATCACAGTGTGGTATCTTTGGAGAATGTGAATGAAGTTATCTCACCCCATGTTAGTTCCACAAGTACATGTAGCAATCATTCTCCAAAGGAACAGGTGCCTGAGCACTGCTTGTGTGGTCGTGGTTCTGCCAAGAAAGATGGAAGAAAATTCTGCTGTCAAATACCAAATGGAAACAAAAGCCGATGTAAATGCTACTCTAAAATAGCTGGTTGCTCCCATCGATGTAAATGTGTTGGTTGTGGAAATCCTTAAGGCAGCTCCCAGGCTGCCAAGCAGGCATACACACATGTAACAACTTCAAGGTACTGACCCAAGCAAAAACTACAAGAGGTCAGAGAGCATCTCCAGTCTTGATTATCTGACGAGTCAAGGTTTAACTCCAGTATCTGGATGGTCCGAGATTGAAAGTCTTACATTAGACTGTCTTGTGAACTTCGCATCTTTGAAAGTTTAAGCATTGAACCTTCAAGAGTGTATGAATACTACTCCAAACCTCATGACATTTCAAAAAAATCTTGGGAGTCCCTTGCAACCAAAGAAAGCTAAGCAAATAGATGGGAAACTCCAAAGCATCAAGAAAGTGGCTGAAGGCTTTGAAGCGCTTTACAAAAAGCAGGTTGAACTGAACTGGTTCTGATTGGACAGACTCTTTTGGATACTGTAAGTACCACCTAATGTTAGCCAAATTGAGTTTTTTTTAAACTAATTGGCAGGGAATCAGTATTAGTGACCATTAGAAATAGGGTTCTACAAGCCAGTCAAATGGAAACTTCAACATCTTCCCCCACCACCCACCATCACCCCCAACATAATCTGGGCAATTGTTTCAGTAAATATAACAAAGTGCATGTGATTGAAATAAACGGGAACTTTTATTATTAATTCAGTAATGTAATTATTTTCTTTGGGTGTTCAGTTTTTGAAATATGACATTGAAATATACTAATACTATATGAAAGAATCATGAACAAAATAAATCTTATAAACTATCTTACTCCACAATATTACTTTTGTCTCAATTTGTGATTAAGAAAAATTTTTAATACACCTATGTAAAAAAATTAATTATGTATCTGATTTGCTATGTTATGTACAACTAATGCAGTCAGGAGACAACAAAAATATAATGATTTACCACATGTTCCTTCTTTACCATCCAAGGAATTTAGTTAATTCAGTTATGTAATTATTTTCTTTGGGCATTCATTTTTTGAAATATCACATCAAAATATACTAATTTAATAAATTTAAAAGGAATGCAAACTACATTGATTTTTATATACCATCTTTCTGCAGACGGCAAGAATGTAAAACAAACCCATTTGGCTCAAATTAAAATAAAACATAAAGTTTTTATGTCATCAGCAGTCCACTAAATATTGAGTGCATAATGCAAACCATGTATCTTGTGGTTTGAATTTTATTGTTCTTTTTTCAATCGGTTTGGAATAAAAAATCAAACTTAATTGAAAAATATTCAACCAAAGATAAATTTGAACCACAACATATATGGAATGTGCATGTTTTTTTTTTCACCGTCAAAAAATGTGTAGAAGTGGTTTCCTTAATCATTCCTGACGTGCAGAAATGGCTACAAATAACTACCCATTCAAAATTAACAAAATCTTCTCTCAATCAAACAGCACTTTTTTTCATTTAATCTTTTGGTTGCAAATGTCATGTAAGTCTTGCATTGTTCATCAGGAGTAATTTAAAATCTACCAATGTAGAGTAAATGTGATGGTGTTAGAACAAAGAAATGCCCCCATTGTCCAAGATATGGTCATTTCCTTTCCATGCGGGTCACCATAATAGATTATTATAATAATGACAATTATAATAATTATTATTATCATTATTGTTATATTAAACTCGCCAGCTCTGAGATTCCCTTCATGGTCTCAAGAGTATCTGTGAAAGTTATTGCCATTTGTATGGTTTCTGCTGTTATTGTTGTGGGTGTTGTCCCTGACTCTAAGGCAAGTGCTCTGATTAGCCGGTGATAAAGGACATGCATATTTAAAGCAACATGTAAAGTGTTTTTATATTTCTTTGAACCTGAGGAAATACTTGGACTGGCAACTGCATCCTGGCTGTCATCTTCATTAGGCTTGCTGAACTTAAAGAAAACTTCCTTAGCAGTGGCAGTCAATGTGTACTTCAGTGCTGGGGTTGTGTTATGTTCCACATATATCTTTTCAAGTACATTGCCAAGAGATTTAACAGAAAACTTGTCCAGGGAGTCAGAGTTTTCTACCATGGCTTCCAGGTCAAGATCTTCTGATCTTCTTTGATAAAAAAACAGCAACCTCTCTGCCAGCCCATTTTTTGAGGCTACAATTTTTGGCCAAACTGACTCCAGGAACTGCTGAGGGGTGGTGAAAGCAAGGTGGGCTAGTTTAGCTGAAGTTACTCCAACTCGCTTGTCTTTTGTCCCTTTTAGTACGTATCAAAAATCTCCATTGTAACATTTACACAGGCGTTCCAATGAGAGGCTTGTCTGTGATGTTGATTTCCTCTGATATATTAGTCTTTGTAGGAGAGAGTATGCCTCATCCACACAAAGGATTGGCACTGTGGATGCTGCAATAAATGTACTGAATTGGTTATATTCTATCATACATTGTGATTAACATATGTTTTCCTGGACAACTGATTGTAAATTAGAGCTGAAATTATTTCTAATACTACCCATAATTTCTACCCACTTACCCTCAATTGCAGAGTGAAAGGCCCAGGGGGACCCCTATACAAAACAGACAGAGGTGTTCATTGTCTTGCTTTGGAGTGTAAATTTCAGATGTTTGGGCTTGCTTAGGGTGTTTCCAGGAAAAATGCCAACATATTAAAGACCCTATGGGGGACACGCAAAGAAATGGAAAAAAAATATATTGCATTTTACATATTTACATCTGAGCCAAGTCCACATCGGTCTCCTTTAGGGGTTTAACTCAATATTTTCAGTAAGTAACTCTGTCTGTTTCACATGGGAGCCCCTCACCCTTGCCCCAAGAATGGAGGGCACAAGATCAGTAGTCCTTCTAGAGAATCATTTAATCCTTTACACCGTAGCATTGATGGGAATATTCTCCATACTGTTCTTAATACATTTCATATGATGTTGACAGGGACAATTTGTTTAACAGTCAAGAGCTTCTTTACTTAGTGATCAATTCCTTTTTTTCTCATGATCTTCATGTGATTCAGGAATGATATTGTGAGGAGAAATTAAATGCCAGTCACTCTTAGGGGTTAAAGGGTTAAAGGAAATTCCTCAAATTCAGTTGCATAACCAACTGACAAATCTACAATTTTTGCAATGAAAAAAATCTGTGAAATCTGTTAATTAAATTATTTATCAGGAATTTTTTTTCCTTCAGTGATACATTAAGTCTTATAATATTAGCTGAAGCTTACTACACTCAAAAGATAATAATCAATGTTAGGAGCTCCTGTCAATGTCTAATAAAAACTAACCTCCTAGGAAATGGTTAAATAGGCGGCTTGATGATGTTTCATCAATCACAATGCTGGTCTGTATTTTCTCCTCGACATGGCCCACGATTGGCTCCACGCATCCTTTCTGGCACGCTGGTGTTTTCCCTGTTCCAGAAGGGGCAGTGGCGATCAGATGAAGGTTTGCCTTCTTCTCGTAGGAACCAAAAGGCTTCAGTGTTGTCTGACTGAGCAAAGAGCTCGGAGACAACAGAGCTGAACAAAGTAGCATCTAGCTCATTGTGCCATTGCTACAAGCAAACGCCGTCAGCCATTGACGAAGGCGTTGAGGTACAACTTCCTCCATAGAAAGAATAATTTGGCCCAGCTGAGATTCCAGTTCCATGGTAGATGTGACATTACTCTGAGTGTCTATGATATACTGAATATCGAAAAACTAATTATGTAATTTTTGTGAGCAGTTTCTTTGATGGCACCTAGGTCAGCGTTTGTATTTTAGCGATATTTTAACTGATAACCCAACTGGCCCATGTGACCCAACTGACCCAAGTGACCCAAGTGACCCAACTGGCCCGAGTGATCCAAAAGATCCAAACAGCTAAAATAACCCAAATAATCCAACAATGAACCAATTTTATTATCAAAGCATTCATTATTTATCAAATTATCTAGCTGTCACACTATTATTCAATTGACTGATGTCACGCAAGTTTCAGCACACCAGGACATATTTTGGTTGATCGGTACACCAGGATATAGCCAAAAAATCATATCGCTTTGTTTTCTTCGAAAATCTAAAGTTCACACTGATACAGCTAGAATGCCGTCCCTCCTCCTTCTCATTCGCGATAAGCCCTTGAATTAATTGTACAATGTATCTTTTTGACTGTTTTATAACAAAGGTCAACTTTAAAGGCATATCAAAAGGCTATGCCTTTAAAGTTGACCTTTGTTATAAAAAAAGCACTCAACGAATGCGGATACAGGTACACTCTACACTATGAACCACCTACGACTAACAAACAAAAAAACAGACAACGGAACAACATACTCTGGTACAACCCCCCAATTAGCAAAAACGTCAGCACCAATATCGGACACAGTTCCTTGCCCTAGTAGACAAGCATGCCCCGAAAGACCACAAACTTAGAAAAATCTTTAATCGTAACACAATTAAGATCAGTTACAGCTGCATGAATAACACCAAACAGATCATCGACAGCCACAACAAACGCATTCTAAATTCATCCAAACACATCAAAGACCGCAGCTAACACCAAAAGACACCAAAACTTGCAACTGCCAACAGAAGAACACATTTCCACTTAACGGAAACTGCCTCCAATCATCTCTAATCTACCAAGCCGCCGTCACAGGTAAGGACAACAACACCACTGAAACATACATCAGACTTACAGAGAACGACTTCAAGACTAGATACACATCGGCAGAAATATTGGACAAGATGGCGGCCGCGCTTGCGCATTTCGTCTTTAATGGCGTCCAAATAATATAAGAAACTGTATGGAAATTTGTAAAAATTTCTAAAATATAACAATCAGGAGCTCATGGTCCCGTCTGCTCTCGATCGAGACATATTCAGTACTGGTTCTGCTATTCATCAAACCTCACAGGGACTCAATAAATAAAAACCACTTACTTTCCGAGCCAGTTCTTTTGTCATTGAACATTGACTTAGGTCGCCATACAGTTCTTCAAAATCCGTTGTTCTCCATCCCAAACACTCGCCTATTACAAGAAAGTGCATCAATAAAGTCAACTGCACTCGATCGAATTGACTGCTACAGAGTTCGAAGCGTCCAAATATCCTGTAAAATTGCCATTTCCTCCCATCGAAAAACTTCCCAACGCGCCAGAATATCCCTTATTTTCCATGTTGAGTAAGTGACGAGACGCCATGTTAAAAACTATGACTGAAATAGTTAAACACGAGCAATGACGATCTTCGAATCGTCGGCCATATTTGTTTATGTTCTTGCGGGGAAATAAATTAGTTCTCAGGTCCTTTTCGGAATAAAAATATGCCAGGCATTGAATGCAAATTCAGTAGTCTTAGCGCGAAAATTAAATTAAAGCAAATCAAAATTCTGACATCATGTCATCGCTCTGCCTCGAAAAATCCCAAAGATTTATTTGCAGGTCTTCTTTTCTTTTTCTTTTCATCACATAGAAGATCTGCGATGCTCAAATTGTATAAGTCATGGTACGAAACACTCTTTGCTGATGGGAGTTACTACATCACGGGCGACGAGCGGGGATAGAAAAAACGACCCAAATATGAGCGGTCAGCAGTGAAACAGCTTTTATACTTCATATAGAGACATATAATTTGTTGTTCCAGAGACAATCGTGTTGTAAAGCCGAAATGTTAACAGTTTACTTCACAGTTTAAGCAATTTTTCAAAAGTGTTGATTGAACTCATATCTTTTACTGCTTTAATAAACAATGGAGGCTTCGGATAGGGAGTCAGTGGCATTTGGAAAGGCACCAAGAATAATTATATATATGGTTTGTAGCTAGCTGCGTGACGTTAAGATAGATTTTCACGAGCGTCAATGGTGCAGAATCGTAACTTGATGGAGTTGTTCAATTGAATAGGAAGAAAAACATTTCGAACGGAAAACAGCATTATTTGCACGTGTGGATCTTTTGAGAAAAGGTCTCCTAAACGAGTGGTCTTGATTGTAAATATTTAAGGAATGGTAAATACATTAGCCTTAACATGGCTGTTTCTCGAAGCTCAGTGTTTTCCTACTTGCCTTTTTTCCACGTGAATTGGGGGCGATTGAATAGATATAATATGCAGTAAAAGAACTTCAGCTGATAGAAATTTTAAATTTCTCATCTTAGGCTGTGGATACAAAATTCAAGTGAAAAGGAAGCCAACTGTGATTAATGCTTTGAACAAGTCAAGATACGTCTTTTTCGTCACACAAGTTACATAACGTGAATATCATTCTTCTTGATGCCTTTCCCGGTGTCATCAATGCCTTTCCCGATGCCTCCGTTGGTTAATAGAGCATTAAAAGTATTGTTCCAGTTAAAGCTTGAGGAAAATTGCTTAACTTTTTAAGTAGCGAAGTGTAACTTGGTAACATTTCGGCTTTACAACACGATTGTTTTCTGCAACTACAAAACGTACATTTAATTCTTCTTGGTACCTTTCGGATGCCACCGATGCCTTCATTGTTTATTAAAGCAGTAAAAGATATATGTACAATCAACACTTTTGAATTGCTTAACATTTTATTTAGCGAAGTAAACTGTTTACACTTCGGCTTTACAACACGATTGTTTCCTGATACTACAAATGATCTGTCTATATATGATGTATGAAAGTTGTTTCACCGCTGACCACTCGTATTTGGGTCGTTTTTTCAATCCCCGCTCGTCGCCCGTGATGTAGTAACTCCCTTTGCTGATCGAGCCATGATCGCCGCCATATTGAATTCTCTTGATATTCTGTTGTTCCGGAGTGCGATATACCGCTGATAATTGTTAGCGGGCTCGAAATGTCCTTGATTTCTGGCGAAACCACACCGCATCATTCCGACACACAAAACACAGAAACTCTACCGAACTAAGCAAACATACCCTAAAAGAAAATAACATAAACCACTTTATTTCATTGCGCATCCTCTCATCAAGATCATCCTACAACAGCGCAAACAAAAGATGCAACCTCTGCCTCAAAGAAAAATTACTCATCATCTGCAGACCCGAATTATCATCACCCAATAAACGTAATGAACTCGTGTCCTCATGCTGCCACAGAAACAAAGCGTTACTTTGTAACAATTGAACTGAGCATCGAAATTAACCGACACGTCTATTATGCAAATTTGTGAAGTATATTAACGAGGTTAAAATATTCTTAACAATAAAATCCCCTGATGAGTGAGCAATCACGAAACAGGCTTGTAGGGATAAAAGTATAGTCTCTCTGTTTTTTTCCCCATCGCAACATATATCGCGCTCTACTCCTACGTATCGAGCACTGTAAAACAGAAAAATCAATACACAGACTTCCTTTATATATATTTATGTACACATCAAATTATATAACATCTTGTAGCTTTATCATCACACTTTATCTCCTCAAATTTTCTTTTTAAGCCCGAAGAAAGAGTTCCGGCCATTTTGACGGCTATGGTTTGGTTCGACATTTTCAATCCGTGTCAATCTCCTCCAACTTCAGCCATCCGTGATCTCCGCTGTTTTATTTTCACCTCGTTATTTTTTGTCAGCTCTGTAAAGCAACTTCCATTTACTTAAAGGAAATTCTTTGCACCATAAAAAGGACTCACAATGGCGTGACGCACTTTCTTAAGTAACGCAACTCTATGGCAATGATGAATTCCTTTTTGGAGCCTTTGGAAGACCGATGTAAATAAGCTGAAGGTTTCAAGAGGTACACCTCCCTGATCAGACTGAAGGTGGAGTTCTTCCCCCCGGGCTTTCAGTTGAGTCAAGTAATCAACAGAGTATCCAGACCACGTGGTTGGAGGGGAGAGCCTTCAATTTCTGCCCTTCAAAGGTGAGCTAAGATTCGCCACTTGTAATCTAACTAAAATAGACATATGCTGCTGATTCTAATTCTAAAGTTGGCTGCTTCACTTTACACAGCAACAAAGCATTCAAAGTTGAATTCGTGGTGAGTAAGATGTTTCATCATTCGAATGAGCTGTATTATTAATTTTACAAAACGTATTTCGACGCCTTTGTAATTAGAGCTATCCTTACAAAGACATTTGATAATGAAATGGATAATGAAATGATTGATATGAGAAACATTATGACTTGCTATAGAGGAACGTAGTTCTGCAAAAATTATCTTTATTATTTAGATCATTTTATATCCCAAGGATTAAAAATCTTTGGCATGGTAAGAATTATAGGGCTTTTAACTCGGTGGTTCTGCCGAGCTGAATCAAATTTGTTTCTTTAATCAATGTCGAACGACTGGATAAACGATCAAAACGTATGTGTCAAAAACTCCCTAGAAGTTTACAAATGTGAAATGTAGTTACGTTTTGTTCGTTATCTTTGGCAAAACAACGTTCAAATCAGTTGAGAAAGACGGGAAAAGTAATGCTGTTGGCGATACCATTGTAAGAAATGGATGAAATACGGCCATTCGAAATTAAAATATTTTTCTGAAAATATTCGGCATATCTGAAGCCATTATTCTTTTTGTGAAATGTCGGTTGGGTTACGTCAAATCGTTTTACCCTCATTGCCGTGGGTACTTAAAGCTTCTCAGTGTCGATGGTAGCATAGCGTAGATGTATAAACAAATCGCACACCGAATTAAATTTCATATTTATTCATGGCGGGAAAATCTGTTTGCGCGTTTAATTGAAAGAGAAGATGGAAAGCGATGGGTTTCTTTAACGGCCATTCTTTTTTTTTTATTTATCAAATTGAACTTAATCTTTACTCTTGTTATCCGTTGTTCCCTCTTTGTTTTAAAATATTATTTATTCTTTTTATCGATCAATGTTTCACTTTTTTCTCACATCAGCTATTTGCATTTATCTTTGTTTTGCAGAGAACGTTTTATTTCAGTTTCTCATCCTTGGTTTTATCAGTCACACGATCAGAATACTTGTCACGATACTTTTAGAAGGTGAGCAGTAAAAGGTATTGCTTTAGAAACAATATTTTCCCGCTTTACAAACTGAAATGTTTTGCGATGAGCATTCGATGGCAGAGGAATTTTTGTAGCCTCGAAAAAATCTTAGGTTTTGGTAAAGATTTTTTACTGAAAAATTTTTGTCTTAAACTTGTAATAGTCTAGAAAATAAAACGGTTTATCCAACATGAAGTCTTTGTATTCCATGATCTAACTTCTAACTCTCCTTTTTAAGTGCTATGATGTTATTGTGAATAATTTAAGAGAATATAGTATTACATCAAGAAAAACCAACTTTTGATATTATTTGAATAGTTTCTTTTAAAAGTCAGTTTGGGAGTGACAGAATGAGATTAAAGATGAAATATTTTCTCTGTGTTTGTATGGGAAAGCTGTATAGGGTTTCCCGATTTAGATTTTTTTTTTCACTCTAGCTGTTGTTATCATCCTTTTCGCAGCAAAAGAATTATTTCCGTCAATGGTTTCTGGTGATTTCAATTTCTGGTTTTTCCTTGTTTCCAAGTCATACGGTCAGAATACTAAACAAGACACTCTTCATTGTGCGAGGGTAAGATGCCAAATGAAAAATTAATTTGTCTTTCCTTTCCCGTTTTCAAAACTATTTTCGCCGCCTCAAATCAGTCACAACAGAAATCAAATTCAAGAACAGCAAATTCTAACGAAAAAAAGAAAAAGCCACAATAATGTACAATGCACCTCATGGGGTAACTAAGAAGTCATGTTTACACGTCGTAGACTTACTTTTCCAGTGATGTTATTAACCAATCAAACTCAGCACTTTGTTCTTAACCGAGCTACTTGCATTTATCTGTTTCTTGCAATCAGTCTCATCACATAAACAATTAGCACCCTGAACAGCCCATGTTTATTTTTTCAAAGTTTTACAGCTGAAAAACTAAATTTAGCAACAATCATTCTTTTCCCGCTATAAAAAAATTGAAGTATTTTGAGTGAAAATTTGGGGGAATTCGATGATGTATGACTTTTTATTGTTTCAAACAATCTAACCAAAGTTTGTCTTATCAGCAATTCTCCCTTCAAGCTCCTTTACATTACCTTGCTAGTCATTAGGGAGAATCTGGTATTGTATCTTATTCTCGCCACCTATTCACTGGATGAAATTTTGTTATTGTAAAGAGAAGCAACATATTCCTCACTTCTGTGACTTGAAAGTCTTTAAAAAATCGGTCAAAGCGCGATCAAAACCACCAAGCTCTTATTAATGATATGCGAGGAGCTTACAATATTTATTGACGATCTTACGAGCAAGCTGTAATCCAACATCCATCCTTTAGATTTTTATAAGGATTATTTTAACCGATCATTTTAATATTCGATCCAGCAGTAACTCTTTGTACTCGTCTTTTCTTTGTACAGATAATTTCATATCTTGCTTCGGTTTCCTAACTATCCAGATACCCTTTCTTTTCCAAAGATGAGCGGCTTAAAGTTTATTTCAGAAATATTTAGCGCTAAAATATATCGCTTTGAGATTTGCTCTATCTTAATTATGAACATAACACCTTGTTGATCGATCTGTTTACTCTCACCACCTGATTTCTGTAAGGTATCTTGATATTATAAGGAGAAACTACATATCCATCATTTCTTGAATGATGCAAAATACGAAGATCTGCTATTTTATATAATATATGTAACAGGCAATCTAGAAAACAATTTTCTTCCTTAGGTCTTTTTTTTATGATTTCTTCTTACCAAACGTGTGAGTAGAACGTTCTTAAATTAGTTTTAATTGCGCAGTTAGCAGTTACGTTTATTTGACAGCGAAAGTCTCATTTCACTTTATTACTTTTGTTTTTATTAGCCACATCATCGGGAGACTAAAGAAGGCATTGTTTTCAAAGGTAAGCTGTTCGCTTTTTTTTAGCTCTGTATTGTCATTGCTTCCTTAGTTTCATTTTCCATGAGTAAAACTTACAGTACTGTTTAATTAACCGAAAAAAACGTTCGGATAAGTTGTTATACGAGTAAATTAAACATTAAAACGCGAGTGGAATTCTTTACAAGGGGAAAATTTCCCTTTCCCTTGAAAACAAAGCTAACGGATGATTTCCAATCGTCTTCTAGACGTTTTAATTGCCTGCCAGCGATAGGCCTAGATAAAGATTTTAAAAAGCAGGTTGAAAAGATGGATTAGTTATGAGTGACATTAGTAATACATTTGGTTTACTGCATCACAAACCAAGGGTTAGAACACGGACTCGCCTTCGACGCATTTCATCAGGATGGGGCTTCCGGTTAAAACTAAAGAACGATTACATCAAAAGTCTCTCTGTATTATTTTATCTTCAATTGAATGAAATGTTTTAAGTTTTATTACAGCCAATTTGAAATCACTGGTGGTCCCTGTAATCTGATTGGCTCTAATTAATGCGATTTATTCACGAATCGCACCATTTTTTTGCTTTAAATCGCATCTTTTTCCCAGCCAATGAGGAGGCTACACTGAAAACAAAACAACCAATTAGATTTCAAGGCTTGTTTAAAGCAACCGATCAAACTGCCGGAAAATTAAAGATAAAGAGTATCATGTGCCAAATTTAAGAACTTTTGTCTCTAAAACTCTTACTTTTTCCCCCTAAAAACTGGATGAATTTAATTTCAGACCGGCTCAGTGCTACATCAATAAAATATTTGACCTGATCAAGTCCTGTATTTGGGCGATTTCAAAATGGATGTAATAAAGTGGTAATTGAACCTCGTGTCGTGCAATTTTGGTCTCAAATCATACCTGTGTTTTCAAATCACGCGTGTGATTTCAGCCCTAATAAAATACATGGAAAAATTACTCAGCTCCTTTCCTGGTTTGGAAAAATAAAATTTCCAGGTAATTCAGTGCAGAGGAGAGTTAATTCAGTGCAGAAGAGGGTTAATTCAGTGCGACGAAAGTAACAAATCAGAAATTCTGATTGGTCAATAATCAAAGAAACTCACAGATAGCCAATCTAATGCGAGACTTGGATGTTGCAACAAAATTTGGAAATTTGAAAATTTGCGAGCGAAACAATGGCCGGCGTTTTAAGTAGGTTTTCTTTCGTCACCGCAGCTGAAAAACAGCTCAAACAACGAAAACACTGTAAAAAGCAATGCTTTAAGGTTGTCGGTTCGGAAAAAGTGGTGTTTAGAGAAGGGAATTGCCAAAGAAATCGAAAATTACGAGCCGAACCAGCTTAACACTAAGCTCGAGCGATCCAACGCCGAAATTAAAAACAAACATGGTTAAATCTCGGAAACGACGATTCCATTTCATCGAAAGTGATTCGGACACAGACTGGACAATTCCTCTAACTTTTTAACCGGACTCTGAACTTTTTTGCTCCTTAAAGATGGGAAGATATCTTTGCATATTATTGTTTTGATCGTGCGCGGTTGTTTCGATCGAACGCATGGTTTGAATAAATTATTTTTGCACTTGTTGCGCGCGCTTTGCTTATGCTTAATTATGAAAAGCCGTCTCGTATTTTTCCATGTATATTATTAACACGTAATCACATGAAATTAAGTGCAAATTAAGTGCCTGGATTTTGAAAGTCAATTTGATAGCTTTGATATGATACCGCAATGAAATACAGAAATATTAAAGACAATTGAAAGTTTTGCGTGACTGCAAGAGTTATAAAAATAGATTACCAATGTAAAACAAGAAAACCTTTTCGCATGTTGACCATCCTGGCTGTGCGAGTGAAAAATATCAACATTGATAAAAGTACCATAACCAAAAGTTTATTATCTCTTGCCATAACGTATGCTGAGAATGATTTTAAAAACTTTGATGTTATATTCAGGTAGGAAAAATACTTTAAAAAATACCAAAAAAGGAAACATCTATCTCGTCCAATTTTTCGGTTGTTGAAGGTTCTTATGTACAGTATCCTTTAAGTAATTTTCAGTTCTAAGTAGTAAATCTAATCCGATAAAAATCTTTCCGATTTAAGCCGCTCACTCGGCTGGAGCGAGTGATAGGGAGGGTGCATGAGGGCGAAAAAACGGGTGAGCACAAGGGATGGGAAAGAAGAACTAGCTCCTTCATAGTCCCACAAAAAAAAAATTCAGCCACTTCCCGTCCACTAAGAAAAAAAGGACAGCTTGCGCTTTCATCTTCTCTCCTGATAGATATCACAGATATAGGATTCTTCAGGAAAAATCAAAATTGTTCTTCAAAACCAAAACGTATCAATAACATAAATGACATCTGTTGCAGTTAGAAGTCCGAGGAAATTTTCTTCCTGAGCAAAGAGCATTATTCAGGAAAGTTCTTTCACCTATCAGGCAGATACAGCGAGTTGCAGAGGTCAGTGTGAATGACATGAATGCACGCGCGAGACGCGTCGTGTAGAATACGCTCCCACTAAAATGGTCCCGTTCTATTCACAATGTCTACCCAGTAGAAGTTCCAGAAATAATAATGTTGATATAGATTCAACATATTTAATGTCGTTTAATTTGTTACACAAACACCAATTTAACAATGTCTTGCGTTGAATTTAAATTTTAATGGCTAAGGGTGCTAATTTTGATTCACCCTCTAATGAATGTAAGTGGAAGTCACTTTCAAACAGAACACTGCGACCAGATTCAGTCCTAAATGATTGTGTAGTGCGTAAAAAATAAATAATCAGAGAGTTGAACGCCAGCATAGCACGATCAATGAATTAACCGATGATCAATGGGTTAAAAAATTGATAGAGCCTGTCTTGAATTAAACAAGAAAGACAAGAGGCGCTCATGCATCTATAGAAAGTCTTCGCTTTTGCTGATTCTTTTCTCACGTTTGGGGAAATTATTTTAACATTCAGGATATGACGTAATGAATAACGCAGCAGAAATCCTAAAGTCAGTCCAGATTGGTTTGGATGTCGCCATATTTCTCCTTAACACTGATCGGGGCCTACAGGCGACCGAGTTATGTAATGAATGTTTATTTCTACTTCACAAACTTAACTCTGGTATTGACCTTGATCATGATATCTCTGATGTATTATTCAATGTGTTCTACGCCACCTCTGGTTACACAAATGCAGCACGATACACCACAAAACTTATTAACAAGTTTTTCCTCGCTGGAGAACTAACCATACTACTGGGAGACAAATACGAGGCAAAATGTTGGTTTGCAGAGGCAAAGCAACTTTCTGAAAGCGCTCTTACCATCATGAAAGCGATTGGCCACCGTAGAAAAGAGGCAGTGGCTTGCGCGAGACTTGGATCTCTTTGCTTTATCCTCCGCGAGTATCTAAAGGCGAAAGAATATTATGAGAGAGAAATTGCCATCGCGATAGAAATCGGCGACAGAAATGGAGAAGGAACAACATACGGGAACCTCGGAGTTGTGTTTCAATCCCTTGGCGAATATCAGAAGGCCAAAGAATATTACGAGAAAGCAATTGCCATCGCGATAGAAATCGGCGACAGAAATGGAGAAGGAAGAACATACGGGAACCTCGGAGTTGTGTTTCAATCCCTTGGCGAATTTCAGAAGGCCAAAGAATATTACGAGAAAGCAATTGCCATCGCGATAGAAATCGGCGACAGAAATGGAGAAGGAAGAAGATACGGGGACCTCGGAGTTGTGTTTCAATCCCTTGGCGAATATCAGAAGGCCAAAGAATATTACGAGAAAGCAATTGCCATCGCGATAGAAATCGGCGACAGAAATGGAGAAGGAACAAGATACGAGGACCTCGGAGTTGTGTTTCAATACCTTGGCGAATATCAGAAGGCCAAAGAATATTACGAGAAAGCAATTGCCATGGCGCTGGAAATCGGCGACAGAAATGTAGAAGGAACAACATACGGGAACCTCGGAAATGTGTTTCAATCCCTTGGCGAATATCAGAAGGCCAAAGAATATTACGAGAAATCACTTGCCATCGCGATAGAAATCGGCGACAGAAATGAACAAGGAACAGGATACGGGAACCTCGGAGCTGTGTTTCAATCCCTTGGCGAATATCAGAAGGCCAAAGAATATTACGAGAGATCACTTGCCATCGCGATAGAAATCGGCAACAGAAATGGAGAAGGAAGAACATACGGGAACTTCGGAGTTATGTTTCAATCCCTTGGCGAATATCAGAAGGCCAAAGAATATTACGAGAAATCACTTGACATGGCGATAGAAATCGGCGACAGAAATGGAGAAAGAACAGCATACGGGGCCCTCGGAGCTGTGTTTCAATCCCTTGGCGAATATCAGAAGGCCAAGGAGTATCACGAGAAAGCAATTGCCATCGCGATAGAAATCGGCGACAGAAATGGAGAAGGAACAACATACGGGAACCTCGGAGTTGTGTTTCAATCCCTTGGCGAATATCAGAAGGCCAAAGAATATTACGAGAAATCACTTGCCATCGCGATAGAAATCGGCAACAGAAATGGAGAAGGAACAACATACGGGAACCTCGGAGGTGTGTTTCAATCCCTTGGCGAATATCAGAAGGCCAAAGAATATTACGAGAAATCACTTGCCATCGCGATAGAAATCGGCAACAGAAATGGAGAAGGAGGAACATGCGGGAACCTCGGAGGTGTGTTTCAATCCCTTGGCGAATATCAGAAGGCCAAAGAATATTACCAGAAAGCAATTGCCATCGCGATAGAAATCGGCAACAGAAATGGAGAAGGAACAACATACGGGAACCTCGGAGGTGTGTTTCAATCCCTTGGCGAATATCAGGAGGCCAAAGAATATAACGAGAAATCACTTGCCATCGCAATAGAAATCGGCGACAGAAATGGAGAAGAAACAACATACGGGAACCTCGGAAGTGTGTTGAAATCCCTTGGCGAATATCAGAAGGCCAAAGAATATAACGAGAAATCACTTGCCATCGCGATAGAAATCGGCGACAGAAATGGAGAAGGAAGAACATACGGGAACCTCGGAGGTGTGTTTCAATCCCTTGGCGAATATCAGAAGGCCAAAGAATATTACGAGAAATCACTTGCCATCGCGATAGAAATCGGCGACAGAGGTGGAGAAGGAAGAACATACGGGAACCTCGGAGGTGTGTTTCAATCCCTTGGCGAATATCAGAAGGCCAAAGAATATTACGAGAAATCACTTGCCATCGCGATAGAAATCGGCGACAGAAATGGAGAAGGAACAAGATACGGGAACCTCGGAGTTGTGTTTCAATCCCTTGGCGAATATCAGAAGGCCAAAGAATATAACGAGAAGGCAATTGCCATCGCGATAGAAATCGGCGACAGAAATGGAGAAGGAAGAAGATACGGGGACCTCGGAGTTGTGTTTCAATCCCTTGGCGAATATCAGAAGGCCAAAGAATATTACGAGAAATCACTTGCCATCGCGATAGAAATCGGCGACAGAAGTGGAGAAGGAAGAACATACGGGAACCTCGGAGGTGTGTTTCATTCCCTTGGCGAATATCAGAAGGCCAAAGAATATTACGAGAAATCACTTGCCATCGCGGTAGAAATCGGCGGCAGAAATGAAGAAGGAACAACATGCGGGAACCTCGGAGCTGTGTTTCAATCCCTTGGCGAATATCAGAAGGCCAAAGAATATTACCAGAAAGCAATTGCCATCGCGATAGAAATCGGCAACAGAAAAGGAGAAGGAACAACATACGGGAACCTCGGAGGTGTGTTTCAATCCCTTGACGAATATCAGGAGGCCAAAGAATATTACGAGAAATCACTTGCCATCGCGATAGAAATCGGCGACAGAAATGGAGAAGGAACAAGATACGGGAACCTCGGAGTTGTGTTTCAATCCCTTGGCGAATATCAGAAGGCCAAAGAATATTACGAGAGATCACTTGCCATCACAAAAGAAATAGGAGACAGAGGAAAGGAATGTTCAGGATACTTAGCCCTTGGAAGCGTTTACTGCAGGCTTAGGAAATATCGTCAAGCTAAAGAATATTTCGACAAAGCACTCAGCATCAGTACAGCAATTGGACAAAGAATAAATGAAGGATACGCTTCCACAGGTTTGGCAGCAGTGTTCGCTTTTATCAATGACAATCAGAAAGCAAAAGAACATTCTCAGAAGGCGCTCACCATCAGCAAGGAATGTGGCCATAAAGCTCTGGAAGGAGAATGTTACCTCGGCCTCGGAGATCTATGTAGATCGCTTGGTGAATGCGATGAGGCAGAAGATTACTTAGAGAAGGCTCGCTCCATAAGCAGTAGAATTGGAGACAGACTGATTGAGTTTAAAAGCCTTCTCAGCATCACACAGTTAAAGGTATCGCAATTAAAGGTTGTGGAGGCAAAGGAACATCTCCTTCAATGTATTGGAAAATATGAACAATTGAGGAGTTTTCTTAAAGGAAACAAAGAGTTTGAAATATCCCTGTTAGAAGCGCACGGTAGTTTTCCTTATCACTTGCTCACTACCTTGCTTTGCAATACTGGCAAATTTCAAGACGCTCTTTATGTCGAGGAGCTGGGACGAGCGAGAGTCCTCGCAGAATGCATGGCAGAGAAGTTCTCCGTTGAAAGCCACATCTCGGCTGATCCAAAATTATGGTTCGGGATTGAAAACATCGTGAAAAAAGAGAGTAACTGTGTCTTTTTGTACATTTCGTATTTAAAGCGGCAAGTTTGTCTCTGGGTTTTGAAAGCAAATGGAGACATTTCCTTTCGAGTCACCGACAAAGTGAAAGACAGCACTCTCATTCCTGAGAAAGTTTGCAACGTGGAGGGAATTTTCAAAAAGAGCACCGCCAGCTTTGGCGTTTTATTCACAGCGAATTGCGAAGATCGATCTTTGGATGGCAACGTAACGACATCTCTTTTTGAAGAGAGCCGAGCAACTTTGCGCGGTGACGAAAGCAAAGAAACCGAAAGAATTCATCATTTGTGTTACAAATGGATCATCGCTCCTGTGGTAGATTTACTTACAGAGCCTGAAATCATCATTGTGCCGTATCGTTTCTCGTATCGAGTCCCATTTGCTGCCTTGCGTGATGGAGCAGCCGGAAAGTATCTATCAGAGACTTACAGAATCCGTATCATCCCTTCCCTAACGACCCTCCGCCTCATTCAAGATTGTCCAGCGGATTATCACAGTGAAACTGGTGCACTTGTAGTGGGTGATCCTACGGTTGGCCAGGTGTATTACAATGGACGTGTCGCTAACTTTGTACCATTGTCCTGTGCTAGAGAGGAAGCAGAGATGGTTGGTCGACTGTTGGGAGTTCAGCCTTTGTTAGGAGAGTCTGCAACTAAGCAGGCAGTGCTTCAAGCGATACCTTCAGTGAGTCTCATACATGTTGCCGCACATGGAAATGCCGAAAGAGGAGAGATTGCCCTGTCGCCTAAATGTCCTAAATGTACCACCAACAGTTTTCCACAAGAAGAAGACTACCTCTTGACAATGTCCGACATTTTCGGAACTCAAGTGCGAGCAAAACTGGTTGTATTGAGCTGTTGTCACAGTGCGCGTGGATTGGTCAAAGCCGAAGGAGTTCTTGGAATCGCTCGTGCATTCTTAGCATCCGGTGCACGTTCAGTGTTGGTAGCATCGTGGGCCATAGAAGACGAAGCAACGGAGCAGCTCATGAATCATTTCTACAAGCACCTTGTTCGTGGAGAAAGTGCCAGTGAATCTCTTCACCAGGCCGTAAAATGGTTGAGAAGCAACGGCTTTCCCAAACCTAATCAATGGGCTCCATTTGTGCTGATGGGAGACAACGTGACGTTGGATTTTACATACATCGGGTAGGTCTAGTTCTGATAAGAAATTTCCATTAGCTACCTTACGTTACCCAACATTAGCTATCTTAGGGACTGTTCAGCAGCCGAGGGGGGGGGGATTGGGTGCTGCTCGAGGATTTTGGTTGTCTCCCAGTAAAATTCACCTGATCCCCTGTAAGGCTCCATAATATTCTTTAGACCTCCCCCTTCCCCCCCCCTCCTCCACAGAACCAGAAGATTTTGATGAATCATTTTCAAAATTGGCCTTGAATCAAAGCTGCTTTAGTGTGCGAAATCTTCAGAAATTATTCTTCAAACAGAAGCCCAAGAGGATGATAGACAGGCCAAAGTAAATGCAATGAAAGCAACTTGAGAGATATAAGCTACCTAATGACTTTGAAGTTGATAGCTATTTGAGCTGTGTGTCTAGCTACTTTGAATCTTTTAGAAATTCTGATCCATATAATGCTTTAGAGTTGAAATTGTACTATGTTTGTTTCAGGAAAGAGGAACACAAGGAGGACAACAATGAAGCAGAGAAGAAACAGAGTAACAACTGATCCTGCACAAAGATTATCTTTCCTGCACATTGTTTTTGAATGGACACTGGTATTAGTTTGAACAGACATTTTTCATTTTATTGTAGATAAATGGTTATTTTTGAATGCTCTTGCAAATAAGGCTGAATCGAAAGCTAGTGACACTGAAAGCTGCATTTCAGCCCTCAGACCTATTAAGGGGACTAAAATGAATCAGCATGAAAAAATTGAAAGCATGAAATTAACTAAACGTTTACTAATATGAGAACTTTGGTAAAGTTTTCTTTGGATCGCAATCAGAAAACACCAAAACTAAACTCTAACTTGTTTTGTGAGTTGTTAGGTAAAAAAACAGGAAAAAAGGAGAACAAGCATTGCACAAAATATTACTGCCAAAGTCAAACTGAGGAGTAAAAACAATTCCTAAGATATCAATGTAACAATCTCCCAGAATTCAGAGCAGAAAGAAAACTGATATTATCAAAAAGATAGTTGGAATACTGTAGGAAAACAAAATCACAAACCAGGAATGCATGGCTTTGTTGAGTATGATGATGCACAAGTGGCAGTTTTCTATGTATTTTTTCCTTTACCTTGGGGGTTGGGTGGGGAGGTCAGTATTGTCATATTTTAATCTTTAATTTAGAACTTTCAGGAAAAGGTAAATGCTAAAGAAGTTGTTGATATGATGTTTGAAAATGTTTCATCAAAAGGATATGTTAGGAAAAGTATAATTAGTGATGAGATTTTGTTACTGATGGCAGACTTTTGTTCCTAATCGTCAGTGGGCACTAAAAACTTATTGATTCTTAGGAGGCCTACTTATTCTTTGGCCAACTTGAAAGTTTTGTTCCTGTGATCACTACACTCTTCTCTTCTTTGAAGTACTTTTGCATTTCTTATTTTTCTCTGATTTTTCAGTTTTGTTAATTAAGTGAAATTTATTATTTTACTAAAATAAGTGTAAATAAATACAACTGAGAATTGGATTGGATTGTTGGAGTTAATTCCCAGATTTATTTTGCAACCTTAGACTTGGTCTGACAAAATACACTAAACAATTGTTTTCGGCAGAGTTTATCCACAAGTTCACAATCCTGTCACATTGATTTTTTTTTTTCAGTACCTCTTTTGGTGTTTTGGCCTTCATTAATCTTTCCTTGTGTTTTGCCTCTCGTTATCATTTTTACATTGACTCACAGCCAACTGTTCAGAAACTTCATCACCAAACTACCCCTGTTTTGGAATGACCATATTGAATTTTGATGTAGTATGGGGGCTGAAGGGCAAGAGTCTATGGAGAGAGATTTGATTTGTGCTAAGGACTGTGTGCCATTTGAAAGTGAAATGATGGTGAAGGGGGGGGGGGGTGGAGAGGGAGAGAGAGACAAGCCATAGTTCCTCCACCCTCCCTCCTCTAGGTTTTCCTTAGGTTCTCCTATCCCTGATGCTCCTCCTTATGTCACTTCATACCAGCCAACTTTCACAATTCATTTTCCACACTGAACCATTTAGCTACCAAAAGTGATGAAAATGCAACTTCCCCTGAAAACATAAGTGCGTGGTTGAATAAACAAGTTATGAGAATTAAGTTCATCAGCTTAGAGGAGGTGGATTCCATCATCCTTTCAGCTGACATCCCAGGAAATGAACAACTACAAGATCAAGATAATTCTAAATCCTTTAACCATTTAACTCCCACGAGTGACCAAGACAGAATTTCTCCTTATAATATCAACACAATATCAACCAGATAAGTGAGGAGATTAAAGAAAAATATCAATTTGGAAATAATTAGTTGATCCAATACTAAATTGTCTGAACTAACATTATAGGAATTGTATGGTTGACATCTAGGAGAATTAGAAATTTGATCTGGGAGTTAAAGAGTTTAGGTTACTTCCCAGCTTCGCTGGTGTCTTTTGGGAAAAAATTTTGTACTCGTGCTAGTTTAACCAAAATCATAGGAAACCATATATCAGAGGAAAGCTTAATAAATGCAGATTACTATAAAAATATAACTTAAGCAACTTTTCTTTGAGGAAGTGTCAGAAGCCAGTAAGGCATAAAGCAATCAAAGGTTCTTCTATTGAATTTATCGGGCATTGGATGCTGCTGCATGAGCAAAACGGCTGCAGTCTCATTCACAAGGCATCAATCAACAAGAGTGTGTCTGGCTTTTTCGATATTCTGATTGGTTGAGTTGATATCGGGATCTAAAGTTCGACTAGCTAAAAATATTTGAGACGTGTTGCGTAAATGGACTCCACAAGACAAATATTTCAAATATCAAAATTTCTCAACACACTTTCCTTTGTCATTATTCCTAGGATGCTTTGGGGAAATTTGATGAAAATCGATCAAATCTATACATCCTATAAATTTGCTCAAAGTTGTTGTATTCCTCCCTATATCAAACATGAGATTTTAGCACCTAAAGGTTCACAAATAACTTGTGCCATGCCAGGAGATTATCTTACTTCCTGAAACTGCACACCAATAGGACAAAGGGACCTCCTGGCATCAATGATGGTGGATCAAGATTTCCCGCGAAAAGTAACCCATTGTCTCTGAAGGTGGGAAGTAACCTTAACTCCCAGAAGTAACTAACATGTGACTTCTCCCTATAATATCCATATATTACTTGGCAAAAAGGTAATAAGAATACTCAGGTAGAAGTTGTTGTCTTGATCTAACATCAAATTCTCATAACTAACTTACAAAGAAATGTGTAGCAGCTTGAGGGGAGAATTAGCAATTAGATCTTGGGAGCTGAAGGGTTAACTAACATATCAGAAAATAGATTGCTTGGCTGATGCTAATACTGTGCCTTTTCCCTCAAATAAGCCATAATCGAGTAAGTTAAGTTTTTGAATGAGTTCTATATCTTAGGAGTGTGAACTCTAGGAGCAGGTGAAAATTTAACGATCTAAGCAAAATAGAGGATTATTTATATCACCAATAGGTTGAAATCTTGTTTCAGTAGCTTGCAAGGGCATAAAATGAATACAAAGCAAGTTTGGTTTAATATGATCAAGAAGGATGTTTTTTGTCACATCACAAGTAGGGGACATAACAATCCTGATGAGGAATCAAATCTCAGACTTTCTGAATCAACCCCACAATCGCACACTGAGCCACAGAGACTCTCTCTTGACAAAGGCTGTTACAAGGTTCATGTGTCTTGGTAGGTTGTTTGCTCTTTGTTACTGGATACAAAGCCATCTTTGAGTCCACAAACTACATCATACTTTTCCACACATGTTTTCTGCTCTGTTCTGGAATTGTTCCTTTTCAGCCAATATGCTTGTCTCACACCTGGCTCATATCAACTTTACTGGATTCATGAGACATCTCGCCTTAAGTCTCTCTTCTGACTGTTTCTGTGAGAAAACAACAATGAGTAAGTCAATATATATCATTTTAATGCAAAGTGGTCCTATATTCAAGCACTTTGCTCTTGAAGTATACAAACTAGCAAGAATGGATGGATGAGAAATTCTGAGGAAGCAGATGTCCAAGGAAGTTGTAGATTGTGAAGGGGAAATGTAAACAGGAACGAATTCCATCCCCCTGACCATCTAATTAAAAGGTAGAACAAATACTAACTCCAACAATACTAAGTTGTTTATGTGCAAAGGAAAGAAACCTTAGTGAAGTTTACAAAATAACCTACTGGTAACACTTATTAAGATTTCCAAACTGCTTAAATTTCCATCAGAGATCAAAAAAATTGAATTATTTCCCCCTACATGTTTCCTCAACAAATTTACTCAAACAAATACTATCATGCCTATAAAGGACACCAGCCATAATAGAGAGAAGAAAATTTGTTATCCTCTTAGTCAGTAATTAGTGCATCATCAACCACAGCCTTGACCCGTTCCACAAATACTGTACAGAACATCTTCAGCCTGACTGGAAAAGAACCCAATTTGGTCGTTGAAAAAGTAATTTCTGTAGATTTACAGAAATTTTATTGCTACACAAGTGGTAAGTTGAAGACAATTGTTACAACATACATGACAACAACATAAAATATTATTATGATAGTTACATTATCATCAAAAATAGTCTACCAAAGTAATTTGCCTATTCGACATTGCATCTGGAATTTTTATTTATTTATTTTGCTAGTAGGCCTGCAATGCATTGGGAAACAACACTGAATGAAGAACATCTGACCTGTCAAACAAATAAGCCATCAATTTTTTTCTTTCTGAAGAAATAAAAATATGGAGACATAACAATAATCGCAGTGAATGCAACTGAGGATTTCTAAACTATATCACATATTCTGTTCATGGCTGCACATCAGTGAGAGTGTTTGTTTTCTCATAAAAGGCAATCTAAGCCTGAAAACATAAAGCAAGAACTTATATCAAAATTGTAGTAAGCACTTTTGGTTTGCACTTAGAGAATTATTATTATTATTGCTATTATTACATTATTCTTGTCATTATTAAAAATATTACACAATAGGCCTGCAATGCATTGGGAAACAAAAAATCTATGTCAGGGCTTATTTGTGGTTGTTAAGGGACACTGTCAGCACTCCAACATAGGTCTGCAGTGCATACTTGTGTTGCTTTTCATTCGCAACAAGGGATTTTCTCTATAACAAATCACCAAGACCAAAAAATGGATGAAACACAAAACCTCTCCGAGTCTTTAAGAGAAAAGAAATAAGTCTCTAAGTGTAATGAAGACCCCTATACATTTCACCCTTTAACTCTCATGGCAATCACGAAAGAATTTCTAATTATAATGTCGTAACAATATCAATGAGACAAGTGATGACAACAAAGAGAATCAACACCATCATCATCATCATTATCACAAAGTAAGATCTCCATGTACACCTCAGCAGTCTTTTTAGGTAAAAAAACAAAACAACAAAAAAAAAAATGGAAGAATTATTATTATCATCCTCACTGTTATTATCACAAAACAGATGTTTTCTATGAAAAATTACCAAGACCAAAGAATGGATATAACAAAAAATTCTACCTGAGTTTTTACAAGAAAGTGACAATGTGTTATGAAGACCCCAACATATTTAACCTTTTAACTCTCAAGAGTGAAAATTTATCATTATAATAATATCAAAACTAAATCAAGGAGACAAGTGATGAGAATAAAGAATAGTATCAATTAGGGGATTATTGGTTGATCCAATAACAAATTCTCAAAACTAACATCATAGGAATTTTAGGGTAGAAAGTAAGGAGAATTACTAATGAGATCTTGGGAGTGTCATGGTTGAAAGAATCTGCTCTTTGACTCAATCAACTCTCATTGTATTTCAAAAGCATATGACAAAGGAAATATTTTAGCTTCAGACAAGTTAAAGAATCCTTTACAAAAACACTCAAGCACTTTGAGGAGAAATATAACCCCCAATTATTCTATGACAAAGCCAAAGTCCTAAAAGTTATATAAGTGACAATGTACAATGAACTCCCTGATCATCATCATCATCAAATTTGAAGTACATAAGACAAATGAAATGTCTCAGGTCAAGAAGAGTTAAAGAATCCTTTAGATGAACAGTCAAACACTAAAAGGAAAGATTTCCCTATAACCCCATACTTTAAAGATGTAGTCCTAAAATCAGTGCACTGTTTATACCAATGTTTCTATGTTCTTATAACTGTGTGTATAATGATCTATGTGTTACACAGAAATCTTGCCTACTCTGACACAGAGCAACATATGTACAAATGACAGACCTCAATTCAAATCATTTCAAACCTCATAATTGTTTAGCCATGTGAGACCTTGAGTTCTCAAGGTTGCATATATATCATGCATAGGCTGTCCCAGCCAAATTGGACTAGTTTTACCCTTTAACTCCCATGAGTGACCAAGACAGAATTTCTCCTTACAATATCAATACAATATCAAGCAGACAAGTGATGAGAATAAAGAAAAATATCAATTTGGGAATTACTAGTTGATCCAATACCAAATTCTCCAAACTTTCATCACAAAAAACTATATAGCAGACAGTAAGGAGAATTACTAATGAGATCTTAGGAGTTAAAGTGTTAAGGTGATTCCTCAGTAAAGCACTGCACATCATGTACTGTGCATAATATCACATAATCAAGCCAATAAGCACATGCGCATTCTGAGAACATGGTATTGTTTATCAATCAATGGACCAGGTAAAGAGGTGCAATGGTCTTTACCTATTAAATGAGCACAGTGACCATGTTTTATTTCCCATAATTTTGGTGCACAAAGCCCGTTACTCAATGAAGCAAATTATGACCCTGAAAGGAATGACTCGAGGAACATTTTGAGTCGATATCGTTTAAATTTGCGTAATATTCCCACCAATTATATATCAAATTGTTCGATACACTCGAGACTTACTACCTACCAAGTTTTTTTTCCAGCTGCAGCAAAATGTACAGCGAACCGCTTAAATGACGCGCATGATTAGTGCCAGTACAGGCATAAATGGGGTAACTTTGGCGCATATCTCTCCTAAACAAGCGAGATGACCTATCTCTCTTATTGTATTTTTCGAAACAGACATTGGTAAGGAACATTTAAGGAAAGTTTACAAAAAATTGTCCAATAACTTCTTTTCTGAGGAATCACCTTGAAGGTAGTTAAATAATTAAATCAAGTGAAATCAATTTCAGAAGTCGTATGTTGTCACTCCAGTCATTTGTAATAGGCTATCTTATTATTCATCCACGACATTAGGTTATCTACTGAAAAAATTAAGCAAGAAAGTACAAAGCGTACGTAGATTGAAACACATGACTTTTAATATTCAGAGCTATACACAGAAACTTACTTTCTTACCTCATTCTGGAACAATTCTGTTAGAAAGGGAATGTGCCTGAAAAAGTGTTTAGCGAAAAGTGTTTACCAGATGACATCGTACAGAAGATTATCCTGAATTAAGCCGTTTTGAAAATTCGAACTGGTAGAGGTTAGAATGAAATTGCTGCGTAAGAAAACCAGAACTTTGTATACAAAAGACTTACGAAAGACTGGGTCTTAGTCGCTTTAGTCTCCACTCTGTCTTGTTTCCAAGCAACGGCGCCTTGTTGTTGACCGTCAAAGTTTATGATGGCGCGAAGGAAATGGACTTGAGAATTTCTTGAAATTTTCACCGTGAAAGGTCGGTTTGCTCTCCGATGTTTATGCTAACTGTAATCTACGCTCATTTTCTATCTTTTTCTGACATTTTTAGGAAAATAATTAGAAAACTAATGTTTTTAGGGGTTGCTTTTCGCGTTACAAGTTGAGCTGAATGCACGAATTTTCATGAAGAACTTTAACAGATTTAGGTATTGGTAAGACACATTTTCAAACTAGAGAGAGTCACGCGAACATATTTTTGCGTTTTACTGCAATTTTGTGCCTTGTGAAGAAAAATAGGGTCAGGATTGTGTGTTCTTTTGCTGATGCAAAAAATGTGTTTTCTTTGCTGTTCGTAGAAATATGACTTCAAATTCGTCCCAGGAGGTAATTCAGGCGCGCCGGACAGAATCTTTGGATGCACCAGAGATATTGAAACTTGTCAGCGCCACAACAGAAAAGCTTTTTGGTCGTGTAAATGTCGTAAATGTTATGTAAGTAGACTTCAATTAATGTGGTAGGGATTATAACCCATTTAATAAAAATGTACCGATGTTATAATTTTATTAAGAAAAATCTTGGTTCAAATGTTAATTACAGATCATTTCAACGTGATATAACAGTGATTATCAAAGAAATGATGAGCTGAAACTATCTATCACATAATTGATTCATGAATCATACAACTGACTGGAACTCTGTGCTACAGCACAATCTATTTTCAACAACTGGATCTAGACTGACTCTGACTCTGGTTGAACACTAGCTTAGAGCAGACTCCCTTTAACAGATGTCTTCAACTACCACCATTACACAGATGACTTAATCATGAAGTTTACATAAGAAAAAAACTGAACAGAAGAAAGTTACTTAAGCGAGACCAGACATACATGTAGACCTTTTGACTGACAAATAACTTTTCACTTGTCTCTAATGATGACTTCTGATCTGCTGTTGTTGTGAAAAAGTCAGTCACTACACTCAATAATATACTTCTCAGGAGTATACTCTCTCAGGGTTGATTTGACTCCATGATTAAATGTTATATAATCTATAATCTTGACCATTAATTTTGCAGTGAAAAAGCCAGTTTGGCTGTAACATTGGTTAATGCAAACAATGATGTCATGGGTCATGCAGCATTCTTTGATTACCCCAATCTACCAAGTTTGGATCCTGGGAAATGGGAAGAATGGTTTCATACAAAATATGACTGCAAAAAGTGCAGTGTAAGTGTATTTTGATTCTGAAATAGATTTCTTGATAATATTTATTTCCTCAAACAATTCAAGCACCCAGCTCTAATAAGCACCTTCCCTAAATAAGCACCTACCTATAGGGTGTAGAGTCAAACACCCTCAAACACTCCTCCCAAAATAAATCCAAAAATAAAATTAATTCTCCAAACTATGGTTACAAGAACTGTATGGCAGGCAGTAAGGAGAATTACTAATAATATCTTGGGAGGTAAAGGCATTATAAAAAGGTGATCCACTACAAGCTTCTCAGTTTTCTAATTTGTAATCATTGGAAAGTGGTTGTCATCACCCTCTGTACATAAAATTGCTATGTATATTTTTCAATAGTTTATCATCCAAATCTATTACTACAGTCTGTATTGTTTTCATTCAACCAGCCTCTCAACACCCTCTTCATGAACTACTTTGTAGCAAAGGCAGATTTTGCATATGGCTGTGCAACAGAAATTATAAGGTAAGTTTTGAATAATCTGTAAAAAAGTGGGCATATCAACTGGAAACCATTTGAGTTGCAAGTGTATGCAGACTTAATTTAGTTTTTTTTGTGTGTATAATAACAAATTGTTATCCTGAAAATTGATAAGCCAAGAGAGCTATTTTCTTTGTTTACAGAACTGTTTTCAATGCTGTTCCAGCTCTTCATTATATTTTCCTCATTGTACCAAGAGGAGTTGAGACAGGTAATATACTGGTTACCAGTAAAAATTAATTATCATTATACACTTAGTCATATAGTCAAGGAATTGATTGGGTAATATTGCTTGAGTGCAAGAACTGCCCTTACAAGGGTATGTCATTCTTTTTTTTTTTATTTGACTCTTCTATGAAAATGTATAATATGGTTGTAATAATAATAATTTGTAAACTTAAATAGTGTATGCTGCATGACATAATGATTGTGTGTGCTTTGTAGAAAATTTCTAAAAGATATGATAAAACTAGCAGAGAAAATGGGGAAAAAAACTAAAATTGTTTAAAAATTACAAGAATAAAATGCTATGTCTTCAGGTACTAGTGACTCACACCCTATTTCACCCTACAATATCAGCCCTGAATCACACACTTAGGTCACATGAATAAAGGAAAGATTACCAAGTAAAGAAGCTCTTGATTGTTAAACAAATTCTCCTTGTCAGCAACCTAGGAAACTTGTAGAGAACAGTATGGAGAATATGCATATTGATGTTTGGATGTAAATGGTCAATAAAATTATTAAAGATGAGATTCAAGGTCTTATTAACCAACAAGTAAGCCTATGTTGCAAGTGCAAGACATGCATTTCTCCTCCCACGGGCAGATTTGATTAAAGTTGGGGAGAGGTTAACTGGTAGTTCTTGCTAAACCCCTCGCAGACATCTTGCTGGGTTGCATGGCTCAGGCTTCTTACTTTTCCCTGGGCAAACAAAACACTGAGCATGTGTCAAAGTGTTAACAATGTTAGGGTGTACTTGGAGGGTAAGGTCCTATTGAGTATATGTATAATGTTGCATTTCAATATTCTTTTCTCTTGCTTATTTAAGGAATACAGTTAGTTAGTTTAGAAACACTGATTAGGAAGCAGTTTGGTCCGCACTGTTTGATGACATTTTTTTTTTAATTAAGTGTAAACAGAGCTAGTAGTTTTGGTTAATTCACACATTTGGATTGTTCAATATATGCAATCTTGTCCAGCCCTTAGATCAAAGGCTGACACTGTCATAATTGATGAGCTATTGGTAATTTAAGTGAATTTTGTTTGATCTTAGAACGTTAATGACATTTAGTATGTTAATCTCCATTTTGCAGGACCAGTACTGACAGAATTATTTAAGCCAGTGGCATTTAAAGAGAGTTTTTCTGGAAGATTGAGTATTGAATTGCAAGTGTGTCATCGTCATGATCACAGTGCGAAATTACACATCAGACCAGCAAGGTAAGATGGCCTGGTTCTCCAAGTATTGCTTGTTCATCATTCCATAAAGGAACTTTGTGATACATGTACTTCAGGGCTCCAAGTTGGGACCATTGCAATCTACATGACAAGTAGGAAAGAATTTTGGCCACATAATTTGCAGTGACAATGCATAAGACTGGCAATCTGTGTGTGGTAGTCATGTATTGAGGAATGATGTAACCTTTTTCAATCAACTATTTATTTTAATGGTTTGAAGTTAAAGTAAGATTTACTGTTGCAAATTTAAGATGTCTGCATTAAATAATAACAGTCGTTTCCTTATTTCAGGCACTGTGTACCAGTATATATCTATGCATGCAAATTGTGCATTTCCTTCCAGCCATGGTGACATGTATAAAATTGACACTGCACACAGTAACTCAGCTCATGTTTCCATCACTCAACACACCTTTGAAAAAATCTTTTCCTTGCAGGGTTGAGGATCATGATGATCTTACACCAATTTTTAATCGACAAAGTGATGTCCTCACATCTACATATGGTATGTCTCCTTTTTTAAGGGTTAAATAACTTGATTAGGGTCCTGTTCAAATAATGTCAGAAGAAATGTGCATATAACTTCCAGCTACTCTATTTTTTTTTTTTTTTTTTGGGGGGTTAGAATTACATCTTAATCAACACACCCCCTCTTCAATTGCAATTTCAACCTCCCCCCCTCCAAAAAAAAGGAAAAAAAACATCCAGTTGGGAAGAGATATACAATGCAAGGCTCAAATTTGATAGACTGATTGTTATTTTTTTCCTTCAGGTGACTTTTTCCTGGCAGAGCTTATAGAGGCTCAGGATGAAGACAATAAATGCGTTGTTGCTGATGTAAGTTGATAGATTAGCACAGAGGAGTCTCTAACCCATAATATGATACCTAACCCAAGATCACTCTATAAGTTCTTCACACATTCTCTGTATATTTCCCATGGCTACTGACAAGAACTAATCTGTAGTTACTCCTTGTGGTTTATTCAAATTTACCTTTGTCACAAGTATCTTGCTCTTTGAGCTTGTTTCTGTCACTTTTATTAAGAAAGACAAATGCTTCAAGATGGGATGAAGCATGCTTAAAGGAAAGTGAAGTGTTTGAAACTTGGTGTGATTAACTGTAGATGCATCCTATAGCTCTTGGGGAAGAAATTTATGACCTAAAGTACTTTTTGTAACTTCTCTGGTTGGAACATTCCCTGAAGTACCCTACTCATTTTTCTATTTAGACTAATCACCTCATGAACTGATGACACTGTATTTCTTAGAATGATAGATAATGATAGATAATGTGATATTTAAAGAAAACGAACAATTTTTTCAGGGGTTCTTACTTAGTTAAAAAAAATTATCTTAAGCTTCCATTATCCTGTTATGATTCTTAAGGTGAAGGGCACTGCTGTTGGTTTTATGAGCGTCTGTTCAAAAGTTGATGTAGAGTTACTGAGCAGCTGTTTTGACTTAAAGCCATTTAACGGGTTGCAAAAACTACAAGGTCAAACACCAGGTACATTAGCCATTAATTTGTCAATTAAAATCTTTGCATAGACTGTAAGTAATACATGCTCTTATCCTTTCGATTTCTTTGCTGCTAAGCGTAACTTCGGAGGGAATACACGAATAAATTATTTGAATGAATAGCATTCGTTGATACATGTATCTTGAGGATCGATGTAGAACGGCGAGTTAAAGATAATATTTTGTTCAAGAGGTTCTAGAGGGGAAAGACCGCTTTCCGCTATTTCACTACTGTGTTTTTCACGTTGCCAGCTCTAGAACTTTCTTACGGTGATCAATTCACATTATTAACTTCGTTGATAAAACCAAAGCACATTTATATGTTAACTATCGCATTCGCTGTGTTGGAAAAATAGAAGAGAAATCAGACCATGTATAACCAAATTTTATGACAGAACTAGAAACAAAAAGGTTTTTAAAACTGCTTAATTTTGAAATATCTTATCCAAGTTATGTTCGGTCAGATTGTTACAGTGTCCGAACAAAAGAAGATTTGAGTGGATATATGTACCGTGAAGGGGAAATTTTATTTTCTGCTCTGAGGCGATTTTTTCTTTATCAGTTTGAATCCTTGAATGGTAATCACCCACGTTCATTTTTTGTTATGAACAGCACTAGGTCCTGAAAAGGCACCAAGTCCTGAAAGAGAACCAAGAGTCACACCGTCAGACGAACAGGTACAAAGAACATCGCCATTAGAAGAACGGACAGAAACGTAAGTAATCAAGCGAGTGATAATGATTTAGAAAGGTTACTAGATTGTTGTTCTTTTTTCTTTTAAATAACTGTATGAGGTGCATCCGAGAATTGAATTTTTCCCTCGAAATTGCGGTTCAGGATCCTCAAAGAGGACTACGTCTAAGAGTGTCTCGAAACTTGATTATCAAAACTAAAATTTGGAAACTCGATTCGTGAAACACTAAATCTTTATTCTCGATTCTCGAAAGGCTACATTGGAGCGATTCGGTAACTTTCTTCAATAGACTTCTGTTAAATGTAGTAACTGCTAGAGGTGGTCTTGACCTACATACTTATAGACAGAGCATTTCAACTACTTTTACCACCGGCTATGAGTGAGCTGTTTTGATTTTGACTTCTATTTATCATATCTTCTTCTATATTTGTCATGAACCTGATTCATTACTAAATGATCAATTTTTACTGTTTTGTACGTGAGCTATGGTTATCTTAGACTTCATATCTCTTGAGCACTGACTTATGCAACAGGGTGTTACTGCACCTAAGACTGAGGTACTTATGCGCCTTACATAGAGAATAATACATGGGTACATGTTGAATGAAATATTTTCTTCGAGAGTTGAACTAGATGTCTAACGAGAGAGATGCAGAGTCGGACACGAGAAGAGAGATTCCATATCTACTAGGAACCGTGTATAATTTTTTTTTATTATATAAAACGCAATAGGCCTTTACTAACGAGAAAAGTCGACTTTATTAATATATGAAAATGGTGAACGCTTTGCCATTCATTCATTAACCTGACCTGGAGTCGCGAAAGGCGAGTGACGAGTCAGCAGCTGATTGATGATGTCAAACTGCGACAGCTTTCCTCAGGGCTGGAAATCCTTGTAAAACGGCACAGTTTATTTAACAGATGAACGTATTTTTTGTAGACCAAAAGACTCAGCAAAGCAGGATAAAGTTGAAGAACAAGTGCCGGCTCACTCTGCCAGCCTCTCCAGAGTAAGTACTGACTTATTAAAAGCAACCTGCAAATTTCTGATCTTAGCAGTATGCAGGATATGCGTGTCACATATGAACCTACTCACGGCTTAAAGCTCGGTGGTAGAGCATCAGGGCGCGGTATCCGAAGGTCTGGGTTCGATATTTCAAACACAGCCAGGGGATCAATTTTGACCTCCCGCGCGCCAGCTTCCCGCCAAATATTTCAAAGGAACTCTGCTGATTTTTCGTTGGGGATTCGGTTTTCTTCCTTGCCGTAGCTCACGACTGAAGGAGTAACATCTTTCTCCACTTCTTGAGACCTAAAAATTATCTTAAATTTACGTTTCATTTTTTTTAGGCATCAAAGGGTGCAACCGATGGAGAACCGAGTGCATTTTGCATCCAACTCTTTTGCATCGACGAAAAATACGAGACGAGGTCAGTAACAAAAAGAATTACATATTTTCTCCTTCGGTGTATCTGATGTTACCGTATTTACTTGATTAAAATCTCAAGTGTTTCTGTTGAGGTCTTTGTTAAAGGAAGGGTTGTATTTCATTGAAGAAATGTAAAATGGTTTCCGTGTTTACATAGCCTGATGTAAACACGCGGGAGGTTGGGAGAACACGAGATAAGCGTAGGAAACCAACTAATGAAAGAGAAACGAAAACCTTCTTTACATACGCTCGTGTGAAATGGTTTTATGGCCAATCAGAGCGCGCGTACTATTTGAATTATTTTATAAAAATACTTCTTCAACAATTGACGGCACTGATGGTAAATCTCTTTTGTAAAACAGGAACTTTTTCAGTTCCAATATCTCCCTTTCTTAATATTGGTTTCCAAGGATGAAGTATAATGCCGACTTTTACCCTTCTAGTCATTTTACATATGTGTTTTAACCTTTAAGTCTCAATATCTGATAACAAATTTTCCTCTTTAGCTGCTACACATTTCCTTGTAAATATGTTACCAGAATTTGGTGTATGATCAGGATAACAACTTTTACCTGATAAGTTTGAGTCTTCTCGTTACCTATTTGCTGGATATTGTACGGATTTGATAAGGGGAAATTACATGTTAATTACTTCTGGGAGTTAAAAGGCTAAAAGCTGCATTCTTCGCAGAGGGTACAGCGTTTATGGTAGGGCGGCGTTCATTGGTAATTTTGCTTCTACAACAGCGTTTAACGGCGGCGTGTAATCGAGTAATACGCTATCCTCTGCTGTTAAACATTAGCTTAGCGTATCCCTTTTTCACTTGATTGTATTAAAACATAGTTGTTTATTCTTTTAGGTCTATAGATTTCCTTCCAGCGGTGTTTGACCTATTTCCAGTAAGTACCAAATGCTTACTTTAGTATTTGTGGTAAATAGAGTGTTGTAGAGCGCCGGACAGGGTTCAACTGAGTTCAAGCCCCAGACCGGACTTACACTCAGGGATTTAAAATAACTGAGGAGAATGTGGTGCCTGTGCTAGGACATCTGCAAATAGTCAGACGTTCTAGTGCTCTCAGATAAGGACGATAAACCGCAGGCCCCGTTTCTTGCATCTTCTCTGTACTGCTTTATGGCAGGGAACGTCAAAGAATCCACGCACTTTTCTCAAAAAGGACTGAACGTGGCTCCCGGTGTTGTGGTCTGGCCATGTTGTTGTTTATACAGGCCACTAAATAAACAGCCGAGCTCTGAAGCTGAACATAGAAACTTTAGTAACGCAGAGAGGAAGGATTTTAGTGGTTTATCTTATTGCGTTGACCAATGAACCGCTATTTGTTATTGTTACTATTATTATTTTTTTTTTTAACAGGAAAAAGACTACTGCATTTTAACAATGCCTCATCTTGTACCAGAGTTCCCTCTTCTTCAGTCTTTTGTGGTACGTATTCGTTGCAGTGTATTGCCCAGTTTTATTGTCCTGTCTAATTGTAAGCACATGCAGTACTTTTCATCAAGAGATGCTCATCCACATGATCATGTTTTTCCTTCATAATTCACGCTAAAGTCACCAGTTCCTTTATTTCAGAGGGTTACTCCAAGAAAATACAGCACATTATCTCAAGAGCTTTACGTGTTTCATCGATGGGGTCTCATTGAGTAAGTTCCAAGTTTTTGTACTTAACCAGATTTTCCAATTCTTTTTTGGAATTTCAAGTTCAGGCTTAGCTTACGATGGGAAATCAACGAAAATTTCCCAAATATTGCGTTTTAGACTTATTTATTTATATCGTTTGAACAGGTATCTCGGAAACTCATGGTCAGATTTTTCTTGTCAGTTCCTTGAGTAAAACATTTCGAACTACAATTATTTTTCCCTTTGCCCCTGGTGTGTTAGTGTTCACGCGCGCTGCACGTGATCTTGTAATTCGGCCAATCATGCCCACAGACCTTGTGCTTGAATCTGAAGCCTACCTGAACACTTGGTTTGCTATCTCAAACTTGTCGCTTGTTTTTTGTTTGGATTTTATGGCTTTTTTAAGACTTCCCTTACAGCCGAATGTTGTACTTGATTTGTTTTATTCGTTACACCCGAGTCGACGGAGATTAGGCTCTAGTCTCGTGATCCATACATGATGTTTTGTCGTTGTCAACATCTCGTTGTTCAATATTATTTTCATTTAGAATTGTGTTTTTACTATTTGTGCTTTTTCTTCTGGAAGATCGTTTCAAGTGAGTCCCTGTACCTCGGCTGACACTGAAGGAATCCAATCTGTTGTCTCACAACTGAATGGCGCAGATATCATAATGCAGTGAGTACATCCACCAAAAAATGTTGCAAAAATATCGCAAGTTTACACAGAGGTTTCAATTAAGGCGAGGCAACAGCATTTTACCGCTATCCATAGGACCTCTAACCACCGTCGGTTGAGCACTCGTGCAAGTTTTCGTGCCTGGGTTGCGCCTTAGGGCACAGCGACCTTTTGCACCATCGACAGCCACCAAAGGAAAACATTATTGAAAGCGCTGTGAACAACAATGTCATTTTGCAACACGATTCTCAGTGCTCATGATATTGATTGCTGTCTCTATGTTTTTATTGCAGAGATGTTCAGCAATACAATAATGATAGGAGAGACCCGGTGGGTTTTTATAGTAGATAAACGTATAAATTTTATGTTATTATATTATTGCATGCTAATCTGATATCAATTTATTTCATTTTCGCGCCCTCGATCCTCATTATCTCTCGACGTCTTGGACCACTACTGTTGACAAGAAGAACATCTGAATCATATCATAGTAACTAAATTTATAAATTAAGCATTGGTTGTCCTCTTTTGTCTCAGCAATTGTTGCATTTTTTATCTCGATGTACACATTCGTGTATCTTGTAACGCATTTATTCAAATGAGCGTCGCTCAACGAGTTTGCTAAAATCTCTTAGAGGCACCTCATGAGTCTTTTGGACGAGACGAAACGTGGCATCATACCAACCTTGGACTATTTTTCAGAAATAGTTGATAATTTCTATTTTGTGAATGCACCTCTCTTTTTGCTGTTTTTCTGGGATCCCAATGCCGTTACCAGACTCCACTTTTCTGGTGAGGGTTAAGTCCAATGTTGTATTGTTAACAATATGTCTCATTTTTATATGATTAAAGGATGGTACTGAAATTCAGTGCTTTGTCGCTAAGAGTTTGGATCAAGTTGTCGGCGTCGCCCTCCTTAGACGAGAAGAGGTATTCTTTTTTTTGTTTTGTTCTTTTCTTCTGTTGAGTTTTATGTGAAGCAAAGAGCTTCGGCTCTGCAATTTTGACCACTTCCGTTATTCAGCCGTTCTTTGTCATGTATTGTTTAAACCTTCACATTCGTCTTCTTTCTGCTCCTTTGTAGGATATAGAATATATCCGCTCTCATTTCAACATTGAAGATTTTATTTACTTCAATCATCATAAAAGAGATGAACATGGCCGTCTGTTCCATTTTGCTCTCAATCCTGTATTTCAGCAATATTCCAAACACTTTCTAAAGGTAGGTTGTACACTGAAAGTTAAAGCTTCAATAGCTCATCACTGGTGATGCGGGTGTGTCTTCTGACAATCACGTTTGACCATTACATGTTTCTCTCCTTGTAGGAAGTGCTAAGACTGGCCCACAAATCTTGCCTGTATTACCCAGTCTGCCCAAGATACACAGAAACAAAACCAGTAAGTTAGCATCAATCTCAGATTTGTAGTACAAACACTATTTATGTCAAATAGTTTTGCGCGCGCACGATTCATATTATTGTTACATGTGGCTTAAAATAAACCCTCGCTAAAACTGGGAAATATCTGGTAATATTCTTCAAATGATTTTCCTCAATTTCAAAGGCATGCCACCAAATTCACGAAAAATCTCGTTTGAAGTTCAATTTAAGATGGAGAAGTGTTTTGCGGTCAAATCTATCGTTTACAAAATCATAGGTGAGAAATCTAACAAGTCAGCTTCCACGTAGTAAATTTATTCGACACCGAGCTCTTTTGCAAAATTTTTTCCCGCGCGCTTAAAAAAAAATCTGAGAAGGATAATTACCGCCGTAGTCTTTACTGGCCTCTAAATTCCACGAAGCTTACAGTTTTCCTCTACCTTCTTTTCTGGGAAAAATGTTCACTTCTCAGAGCACAACGTCCGCGGAAAAATAGCTCGGCATGTTTTCGCGTCAAAGGAAAACGTATATAAATTGTAAACATAATATTTCCTTACAGCTCTTATTCCAGATCTTCAACCAAATTCAGGCTGTTTATGTTTGTTTTCAGGGCTCCAAACCCCATACGACTGTGACGGCGCTTAATGACTTGGTACCAATCAGGTGTGTAACGGAACGTCCTCATAACATTGAAAAACGCTACGAAAACTGCTTCTAGCGGAAGTTTGACTGTATCAAATGTTCAGGCGTAATTATTCCTCCATGTTCCTGCTAATGATGTTAAAAATGTCTTGCTACAGAGCTCGTCGTCAAATTATATACCCATTGGATCAACTGGGCGGAAATGCTCCCTCAGAAAGAATCTTAGCAAATAAGGTAACTTAATTTCTTTTTGATGAAGGTAGTTGTATCGTGAATGGTTTAGAGCCCAATATGCAGAATGAACCAATAAGAAACAAGGGCAAACGCACATTACTGACATTAAGCGCGGGAAAACGCGTGTGACCAAATGCCGGTTGGTTTTATTTCTACAGTTGATTGGTTAGTCCTCGTTATTTCAACTAATCATAGACCGTGAATACATCACCCCGTGATTAATTTCACACCTAACATGGGTCATGTTGCGCGCGAAAGTAACCAAATCGCAGTTCGCTTTGTTCTTGTAGCCCACTGATTTAGGAGGCAGCGCTAGCTATTTCAAACAATCTCAGTGGGTTGTGAGGTAAACCAAAATCAATTCATGGTGTCGTCTTTCAGTCCTAATTTCGTTCTTATATAAGTCGAGTAATTGACTAGGTTTTAGTTGTGTCATGCGCTACTCGTGGTCTTTACAACCATTAGGATTTAGAAACAGAGCCACATTACTTCTTCTATTTCTCTTTTCCCCTTTTCTTTTGGAGCAGTGGAAGATGTGGATCCCTGGCAACTTATTTTCATTTTTAATTTTTCATTTTTTTTTTCAGGAACCCTTTGCTTTGACTCATTTGAACAGAAAATTGACTTTAGAACCAAAGGTTTGTTTGTCTCATTTTAGTGATCTTTACACCTCGTAGGTTACTATGTGGGATGCCTGTGGCAGACCGCGTTAACATTCGCTTGAGTGTCGTTGCAAGATATGGACATTAGCCACGTGCTTGTGCTTCTCGCTGATGTTGCTACCTGGATGGGTGACCGCACGTAATATCCCGGGTTGTTGACTTGTCTTTTCTTGTCTTCGTTTTTCGATTTCATTCCCGGTATTATCCACGTTATTTTCCAGGTAAAACCAGAGTAACTGTAGATGACGACCAACGTATCCCACTTTAACACCTCCAGTCGTCTTGTTTACATATACATGTACCATCCGTAACTTGCCATGACAATTTCTTTTCGATTTAATTGTTTAACAGGTTACCATTAATGCTCGGATTGTTGTGGTTGGAGCTTCAGATGTGGGGATATCTTTCCTTGAAACCCTCTTGTTTTGGTGAGTTTGCCTTTCTGTAGTTTTTCACAAAGTTCGTAGTAAAATGAATGATCGACGTCAAGGGCGGCGTGAATTTTCTATACCAAAGCGAAGGAGAGCAAACTAACTAATTTCAACGGTGTTGAAAATTGATAGAAGTTTGACCTACATACTTTAGAGAATTCAGCGAGCGATTGATTCTAGTCAGGCTAGTTTCCTCACATGGAAAGTGAGACACGGATTAAAATATTTAGTAACAGGTTACCGTGTAACTCAGGCCCCAGCCTGATAGTGATTTATCCGTTGGATAGCATTATTCGACCTTTATACAACTGGGCCCTGGATGGTTACTATATACTTCTCTTTTCTGTTTTAGCCCGCATCTTCGTTTCAACAATTTAACGCTAGTATCCACACATGGCTTGCCCGGCCAGCTTCCTCCAGACGAACTGCGTTCAAAGTGCCTTCCTTCCAGGTATTGAACTCATCTGTGCAGTGTGTTTTTCTTTTCTTCCCTGTTATCTGCTAGTGGTTTCTTATGTGAAAATTCCTTTACAGTTCTCTTTGAAATTAAACCCGTTACAGCGAGCGCTTCACTATAGCCTGGTGTCTAACGCATTGTTTCATCTAAAGGTCTGAGTTATATTTCAAGCCAGAACAATCATGTTTTTGGAACTGTTATTATTATTGTCCATAAATTTCGCTTAGGTTTAGATCCGCGGAGATCAGTCTTGAGCAGAGGCGACTAAGAAACTCGACCCTAGACTTTCAGATTTCCTTGATCGGAACACAGTTTGTCATTATGAGTTTGTTTACTTTTGCCTTCCTTAGTCTTTGTTATTCTCAAGACGATTTCACTCACATGGCATTGGAAACCTGGATCAAGGTTGTTGAGGGCAAAGTCATGGCACTTGACAGGTAATTCTCCTTACTATCTGCCATACGATTTATATGATGTTAGTTCAGAGAATTTGGTATTGGATCAGCTGATAATCTCCTTGTTGATATTTTTCTTTATTCTTATCACTTGTCTGCTTGATATTGTATTGATATTGTAGGGGGAAATTCTGTCTCGGTCACTCATTTAAACTCACTTGGTGAGGAAGGTCCTTGCGTCTCAAGAAGATGTATTTTGAGGTCCTTCCTTCGTTACACTGGAAAGCTATTCATTATAACCTCGTACCTAGTTGCGTTAACAGAATTATAAAACACAAGTGCATGTAAACAGGATAGATTAGTTTGCAGTTAAACTGACGTCGCCGTTTCGTTTCGGTTGAGGCAATTTATCTTTTGCCCTGAATGCCAACGGGCATTTCATTAAAACAATAATGTGGTTAGAAATCTCCCTGCGATAAATTTACAACTTCAATAAATTCCCGATGGGACTTGACGCGCTATGCTTTCTAAAGCATCCCAACGCGAAATCGCAACTCTCTGTGCTAGAATCCTCACAAATTGTTTTTCTTTTTTTGTTTTGGGTCTGTTTTATTGTTATCTACAGAACGAACAAGGTCGTCAAAGTGAGCGAAGGAGCATTCATTCCTTATGATTACCTTATTCTGTGCACTGGTCAGCAGTTTCAAGTCCCTGTACCTACTGGCGCTGATATCTCCACTTTAGTCACTACCAGTGAGGTGACAATACCTCAAGTATCACGATACACGGGCCCCCTGCCATCGTCAGTGTTCACTGTTAATACAGAAAAAGACTGTGAGAACGTGTTGAGCTTTATCCGGGGGGAGTTTCTTACAGGTGAAGGTAAGCCGTACGTGTTAAAGTTAAATGGTTACTTTTTAGTTTCTGATAAGAGATGAGGTCAGGTGGTTTATTTAGGAGAAAAGGATAACTTTTTTCGAGGGGATGCCTTTTATGACAGAGCCAGTGGTAAATACAATATGTTAAACGATCTCAGTAGTGGCGAAAGAGGCATCTCTCCGTGTAACATTTACAAAACCACATTTCAGACCTCAATTTGATCATATGCAACTTTGGTCACCAATGTATGCATGTGTTATTTGAATCATATTTAAGAAATGTGGAAATTTGTTTGATACACCTCTCTCCTAACAATTCCAACAAGTCGTGTCCGTTGGTCGGAGCACCCAATAAGTATTTGGGAAGCCTGGTTTCGAACATGACGGAGCCTTATCTGTTTAGGCCTCTTTTGTTGCAATTTTTTCAATTGCGGTCAACCTGGGAATAATTCGCCATTCGTTATCATCCACAGGTCCAAATATGTTTGAAGCAATTTTCATTTGAATGCCGAAAGCAAATAGGGCTTGCTATGGTTTTTTCTTTACTTCGCACGGTGATTGGTTCAAAAACTCTCGCGCCACTTTCTCGACCAATCAGTTTCAAAACTAAAACCAATCACGTCTTGGTCACGCGTTTTCCCGCCTTAATGCTCCTTGTGATATTTTTTCTTTGATCTGATTGGCTGATGTGATTACGTTGGTTTTGGTTTTGCGACACCCGATCAAAGAGCGCTCTTTTTCACTTATTTGTAAATTAGCAGTTTTGTTTTGTTTTGTTTTTAAGGAAAAGCCCTTGTGTACGGAAACACCCTGGATGCTTTCGTCATGGTGCAAACCCTTCTAGCGGCTGGACTCCCTGGATCACGTGTTGTGCTCGTTCAGCCCCCAGTCTCGTTACTAACCTGTTTTAATAACCCGTTTATCGATGATGCGGTTTCTGCAGCACTACATGAATGTGGTAAGATTCCCTAACACACATCAATGTGCATGGTAATAGTGGCAATCTTTTGTCCAATCTTTTCAGTTTTTTATTATGTTTTGTTCGTTTGTTTTAATGGTTTTTGCTAACGTACACGATTTAATTCTAACATTTTTGGTACAATGAAAGCTTAACCCTTCAACTCCCAGCAGTGACCAAGACATACTTTCTCCTTACAATATCAGTATTTTATCAAGAAGGCCAGTGATGAAAATAGAGAGAAATATCAGAGGATTATCAGTTAATCCAATACTTAAGTTTCAAACTTATAGGCAACGTAAAGAAGACAGTGAGGCGAATTTCTAAATAGATCTTGGGAGTGGAAGAGTTCGAGAAGTAAATATTCATTTTGTTTTTTCGTAGAAAAGGAAGGAAACTCTTGTAGTTTAGTTAAATTTTATCAGGACCTTCCACTTGAGTCCGTTTATGGATTGTACAAAATATTGCCACCTGGAATAGTTTAGTACATCACCGAAAATTTTCAAAAAATTCTGTGAATCTGCAACTTTCGTTGACGTTATTTCTCTACTCTTTTCTTCCATACATATTATTCTTTTAGAATCGTTTTCCGTTTAAGAAACGTTTTTATTCCATAATCGTAACATTTTGCCCTGAAAAACAGTAGAGTTTAGCTACCCTATTGCTAAATTCAAATTGATTTTTATGCTTGTTTACTTATCATAATTTTAAATATATTCGCTTAGGCACCGCATGATCCCTTACTTGGTTGAAGATCATTATAAACTTTATGGGAACCGGTTTTATTTTTTTCATTATTGTTCCTAAAGGAGTGGCGTGTCATGTCGGCTTCACACTCGCCCAGTGGAATGACGGGAAAGTCGACCAGCCTCTGTCACGTGCTACGTTTACGTCAGAAAACAAACCACTCAGTGTTGACTGTGAGGTGAGCTAACTTGAGACGATGATAAAGAGAGGAATCTTTGCACAAATTTCCACCGTTCCTTAGTTATGAACGTACGAAAAACAGATAATGCACTTCACCTACATGAAAAGGTTGCGCTTGGCAGATGATATACAGAACACTTTTCGCGTGATAAATACGTGGCTGACTTCTTTGTGTCGTCTTCAGTGCATGCGCGATGTATATTGAGTGGTTGTTACCACAGTGTATCGTCCTTTCTCGCAGATTTCGAGCGGGCCTGGGTAACTACGATAAGATGGTCTAAAACAAAACCTGTCATTCTTATCCTATGCATTCTCGTTCCTTCTTAGTGTATTCTTCCAATTTAGTGTTTTTCTCTTATCCTACGATTTGTGCTGTTAAGCTAAATGTAATTTAGCAGGTCAACTAAAAAAATTTCGCGACCTTCCAATATATTTACTTCAATTTTCCAGGCGTTCTTTTGCTTCCAATCCAAGAAGGTTGACCACGACGCTTTTAAAGGTAATTTTTTTTTGTTGTTGCTATTTTCTGTTTAGTGATCAAGTAGTTTTTTCATGCATTCATTTGTCCATTCATTTCAGCCATTAATGACAGCTGTCTTGTGTTTGACGGAAGATTAGTCATCGACGCAGATTTCCACACAAATGACCCATGCATTAGGGCTGCAGGACCACTAACGAAATTCCAGCGGAGATACCATGCAGAATCTTGGTAATGTATCATACTTATCATAATAAGTTGTCTATGGTTGTCATAATTATCGGTCGTTGTGGTGGCCCGCCTAGAATGACGGATTACACTGCAGTCAGATGTACGTCAACGGGAGATTACGGAAGTTTAACATTTAAAGACCCGTATATCAGCTTCCATATTCTCCATATTGTTATACATACATTTCTTAAGGTGTTGACAAGAAGAATTTGTTTAGCAATCAAGAGCGTCTTGAGTTGGCGATCACCTTTTATTTTTGTAACCTGGATGTGTGATTCAGGTGTGATGTTGGAAAAAGAAATCAGATGTTCGTCACCCTCAGGGAGCAAAGTGCTTGGTCATTAAGTCTTAGGTAACTCGCTTTGGAAGCTGGTAGATGAAAGTGAAGCAGTGTATGCTGTGTAAACACCTTTTGATTTCCAATCTGTATACATGTTTTTCTACATGCATTCTTCAACATTTTTCTCGTTCTCTTTTCATTTTTAGGACTCATGGAAACTTCAACTCCAAGGAGGTAGGTGAAGAACTGGCGCAGTCTTTGTTAACATTGTTTGATCCCACCCTTGACGCCATGCTTCTCGACACGGAGACCCCACGAGAGCAGCATTTACTGATACCAATATACACCAAACCGAAGACAGTCTCTGCTATGTTACCAGGTGAGACGACTTCCATGCTAGAGAAAATTCAGCGCACAATTGGGTTAATTTGCATCGCTGCACTTTTTGATTCTCGCGCGAAACTCTCAAGAAATCAGAAGAGAATAAAAATAACAGTTAACAAATGAGTGACGAGCATTATAGACCAGCACTAGTTTAGACTAGTTTAGACTAGACTAGTTTAATGTTGTAATTTGAGATTGCTTTGACTCTACTTTACGTCGTTCTGTGAAGCTAGCGCAGGCTCCCAACCACTCTGTCACTCTCATTTTCCTGCGTGTTATCTCTTTGATGTAGAGTTTTCTCGTGACTCCCAACAAGCTCCTTAAGCGTAAGTGGGAAAATCTTCGACTTTAGAGCCGAGAAAGTTTTTTTTTCGCTTTAAACTACCCTTCAAGACAATTAATTTGATTTTATTAACTGACGAAGGACTAACGCTTGGAACGTCAGCTTTAGAAACTCTTTACGGTGGTAAATTTACATTATTGACTCAGATGATGAAACCAAATTATCTCGTAATACCCCAAACCGACGTAGCACCACATTTTCTTTAGAAATTTACCTCCTTTCTCTTTCGAGAATGTCCTTTAATTTGGGGTATTTCGGACGTTTATTTGAACAACCAAAATTTAGGACGCGTATAGCATTTGGTGCTTGAGGGGAAATCTTCAAGTAAAGTACAGTTAAACCATTTAACACTATGGAATCTGATCATAAATTGGCTTATGAAAGAGTACGCGCGCCTTCAAAAGAAGAGACTTTCAAATAATGAACTTAACAATTCATGTATTGCAGGGGGATATAATTACTTGCAAGTCGGTAAACCAAGCTTGAATATTCCATTAGACGCTCATATGGTACAGCCTGAATATGTAAGTAGGGAGGATTTGTCATAGAAAATATTGATTTTCATTGTAGTTCTGTAGCTTAATGAACGTTTGATGGTCAGGCTATTCGGATCGTATTGATCATGACATTTCGACTGCTATACTGCTAGCTTTCGTCAGGCAACGAGGTCGAAAGTTCACGTGTCGCTATTTATAGTACCTTTGTTTGCTGTTTATAATGTGTTTTTGCGCGCTGTCATTGGTGTATTTCGATCCTCATTATTATTACTGCCCCTTGTTAGAAAGGTGAGATGGAAAGTTTATTTTAAAAGGTATATAGCATACACATGAAAATATATCATTTTCATCTCTGCCATCAAAGAATGTGTGGGAGGTTGTAATACCAAGCGGGTTTGGATGCGGCCATTTTGAATCTTGCTGAGCAACCCGGCCGCTGCATGGCATATGAATTCTTGATTCGAAAAAAAGTTCATTTTCCTTTCTTACAGGGCAGGGAACTTATCACCGGTAAGGACCATGAGCAAGGCTACTTCCGCTTGCACGTGAATCAGCATCGCTCCATAGAGACAATTACGTGCTGCACTCGACAGGTTAGTGAGACCATCACGTATTTAGTTGTGAAGTGCGCGTGTTTCTTCCAAGGCGGTGAGAAATTGGTGGTTTACAGTTCTTCTCATGAAACCAAAATGTGAGCATCTTAACTTCAAACACTCGGAATCTCTCTAATTACTCCTCTATTCTAACTTTACACTTTTAAATTTTTCGTTTTAGAACTTTTAAGGTGGCCTTGTTTAAAGTGAAGACGCCATCCTGCCATCTTGTCTCATTCTGTACCTTTTTTCTTGTGTTATAGGGGCTTGATACAAGTAACCTTGTGTGTTTGTATGCCCTGCATGAGCGATACCTGAACAATTTGTTGCAAAGATTCGACGAAGGGCTCATAGATGATTTCTACAGGTACAAAAACGAAGAGTTTTCGTTTTCTTACTTTGGGGTTTGTATTGTTGTGACATATAGACCAATGAATGGACGGACATAAAGTTAAGTAGGCAGGCGGGTATAAGTAGACATAAACAGACAGGCAGACGGTCGGACAGACGAGCAGACGAATAGACAGATAGATAGACGACAGATTGACAGACAGACTTAAAAGGAAAAAACACATGATTATAGTGAGTTGGTTTTTAAAGATACTGTGGTATCACAGATAAGTTGGTTTCATCAATTGAGTCGTTATTGTAAGTTGGCCACCGTACAAAGTTTATAAACCTGGTGTCGAGCGTTAGCCCTTCTTCAGAGTGAAAGACAGTCAGATAGATAGACATGCAGACATACAGAGAGACAGATAGACAAACAGACGCAGACAGACTGACTGACAGACTGACAGACGGACTGTTAGCCAGACAGAGAGAGACAGATTTCCAAACAAATACATAGACATTCAGACAGATAGGTGAGTAGATATACAGACAGACAGATAGACAGAAAGACAGACAAAAAAAACAGACAGATTGACAGACAGACTGACCGATAGACAGACGGACAGACAGACCAACAGACAGATAGACATATCAGCTGGCAGGCTTCAGCTAGGCTTGATTGAAAACCGGAAAGACATTCAGGAATGTTGTTAATGTACAATTAGTTTGGAAAACACTACTGACATTGGTATATCCAAATTATGACTTGTCATCGCTTTCAAGTCCTTAAACGTTTCTTTGTGCATATTTTAGCTTTTTCCGAGAGTCCTGGTGCCTTGCCGTTTTCCACGATAGATTCAAAGATTTCAGGGATGAGATAAGAGAACTTCTTGTAGCAAAACCTGTAAGTAAAATGTTGGAAATTATTTTGAGCCATAATCTATAGAGCCAAAACCAGAGTGGTCACAACCACCAATCAGAACATCGGTTTACATTATCATTAACCAATCAGAACAACGGCTTACATCGTCATTAACCAATGAGAACTCAAAGTAAAAAACAGAAAACCTACTTGAAGCGCGGGAAAACGCGAGTGACCAAGTTGAGATTGGTTTTACTTTTACATTTGATTGGTTAAGATGGCGGCGCGAGATTTCTGGACCAATCACTGAGTGAAGCAAAGCAAAGCAAAACTAAAGCAATTCAAGATCGCTTTCGATACTTAATTGAAAACTTCTCTGTTATGGATCTCGATGCCAAGTATGTGCCAGCTATGGAGTTTTTAAAGGCATCATTGAAAATTCATGAAACACTACCGTCAATATTTTATGCACTTTCCATCAATCCTTTTTTTCCCTACTTTCCCCTTATAAATCCCAGAACATTATAACTTTGGTTTTGAATTTATTAAGTGCTCACTACGACGATTATGTTATGACTTTAAATGGTGTATGTATCAAGCTAAAACAGTGTTGTTACATTTGCCATAATTCGCTTGATACTGACAGGCGCAGTAACATGTGTAAACCTAGGTAAACCTGTGTAAAAGTATTTCGTTGCGATCTTGACCTAGCGCTTAAAGCTGTGTTACCAGAATTTCACGTACATGTTGTATGCGTAAGTCGAAGAAAAACAAGCTTATGGTATAAACTAACCCGAAGAACTGTACAAGCAAACTAACTTAACCCTCCCCTCTCAGTCCGCCGATGTACCGTCATTGGAGGAGAAAGTACGGAAGATGATAGACGAAGACTTAGTGGTGAGTTACTCTGACGTCCAAGCTCTTTGCTCAGTGTTTTGGTACATACACAAGTCGACAAAATTGGTTTGCGATAGCTTTGATATAGATGGTTACAAAAGAGGTTTTCATTTATGAATTGAAACTGAAAACGTCCTATTAAACTTGTACCCCACGACTGGCACTTGAATGGTCAAGCTCAAGGATTCTGGTTTAGAGCGTTTTGAGTAAGACCACCCTCAACGGCATGATGAACAGTACCTCATGAAAGTACTGCTCGTTAGATTTAATATGAATTGTTACTCACTCTATAGCCCGCGGGCAGGCCTTTATTCTTATAAGCGCTGCAGAACGTGCGTTTTTCCGCTCGCACGAAAATTTCAGACGAGTCAAGGAGAGGTTTGTTGGGGTTCGAGTGTTAATTGCGTTGCTTCACGTCCCATATATTCCCGCGGGCGAAGAAAGACTCGTGCCGAAGTGTTAATAATGAGGGCCTAGGTACAATTTTTTAAGTGAGAACCACCTCGGACAAGAAAATAACATGAAGTTGGGGCTTAGCAGCTTTCTTACGCACGATTGCTCACACACTAGGCGTTTTAAATCCTCAAAACATTGGAGGCACCTTGTTTATTGTAATAAGCCGTATCATCTCAGAGAAATATTGTGAGACTTGCAGTTTAACAGCATTATAAACGGCGTGCCCTTTTCAATTTTTATTTTCAGTTGACCAAGGATCAGCGCCGCGTTCTCTCAGACTCGTACATGGCTTCATCTGCTAGAAAGGCAATCGAGCAAAGATTGCTTGGATTCCTCAGCTACAACTCCAATCACTTGCCCATGTATGCCAAACCCGGCATGGTGTGATGTCATTTAACTTGTCATCGGTGTTTCCTTTTTTGTAGATAAGCGTGGTACTATTGGTTGATTTCACTGCTTCAGTGTTACGCAGGTTCATCGGAAAGTCCAAACGGTTTCGATAAAACTGCAAGGGCTTGTGTACTGTATATTGTCTTCGAGTAGTATCGAATTGAATGGAAAATAAGGAATGTAAGGAAATAAATTACTGTTATGTATATCATCGACGATCGAGAAATAAACCAAAAAAAAAAAAAATTTAACATCGAGTATGTGGTGGCTTCTGTACTTCGACAGGCGAACCTCGTACCTCAAGATGGCGGCGTTTTTACTTTGGGCTTAACTCACCTTAACTCGTAAACTTTCCTGTTTGCGGCGACAATTTCTAGATCTACCATTTGTAATAAAACCCAACTATTCATATTCATACTTCTTTTCATTTTTAAATACGGCGAAAATATACGTATTTTCCATTGCTTTATGATATAAGTTAGTGAAATATTGAATGTAAAGATCGTTGTTAATCAGTTCAGGTTAGGTTAAGAGCAATTCATTGTTTCATCGCTAGAGCTCTTATTCGCTCCTGCAAATATTGACCACATTCATCTGGCAACCTTAAGAGTAATAAACGAAGAATCACGCCTGAGAGTCTTATGACTGACACAAATATTCATGGCGCCTCCTGGAGTTAAGCGCTCTTTAAGTTGATTGTGCACAAATATGTGCATTGAGGATGCACAAAACCTTTGAATCAACCTCACTTTTTATTGGTTTAAACACTGAATTACTTGCGTTTGAACATTCACGTGACAAAAAAAACCAAGCAAATAAAAATACAATTAGTCTCATTAATAAAAATGGAATGTAATTGCATTTTCAGGACTTAAACCCGTTTGTATGTTTAAGGGAAACATACAAGAATTAATTAACAACTTCGCTTGAGACACGAATATCATGCCATGTGTAACGTTATTACATCGGCCAATCAGAGGGGAGGAAATTATCTCAAAGAACCGATACGAATTCAAAGTAAGAACAAGAAAACTGCAAAAATCGCTGGAACACACGAGGGTGTAAGCAGGGCGGGGAGAGATTAGATATAAAACTTGCAGTAGAAGGATGTATAATGCTATTGAAGGGAGAGGAAAGAGAGGGGTGTATTGGCGTGCGTATTCGACGAGTTTAATCTACGATATAAGGAGACATGAAGTCCAACAAGCGACGGAACGTGTTTGCTCATAATAAATCTCTCTAGTTGTCATCGACTGCCTCTTAAGGAGTATTATAGTAACTTATCCTTTCTTAATTATTGTTTCGTCAAAACTCTTTACCAGGGTCTTCTCGTCATCTACATCCAAGATGGCGGGTACCGACTCTGTACAGTCTGTGGATTGGCCTGCTGCCATCTTGGATTCACGAAGTAGGTGGACCCTGGGCGAGAGTTTGACCCATTCCCGATCAGGTGGCGGAAGAAGCCTTAATTCGGACATTGAAGGTTTCCAACAAAATGCAGCGATGATGTCACCGAGACCTGGTGGGAGCTCTTCCAATTTACCACTGCAATTGTAATGAGAGGACTGAGGAGAGCAAACATTAGCACCTGACCATTGTGGACTGGATATCAATCGAAAGGAAAACTGAGATTTTACTAGAGATGACGTCAGGAGGAGGACACTATTCCAACGAGGACAAAATAGACACGATAGCAACTACTAAGGGGGAAGAAGGGTAAGGAGGTACATGAGGTGAAAGAAGCCTGACGTTGCGTGAGGATTGAGACGAATGAAAATTAAAACAGACAAGGAAATAGTTGCGTCTGATGAAGCGCGAAGAAGAATAAAGTTAAGGACGATGAAAGAAGTGCGCGTAAAGAATGAGATAAAAGAAAAGTACGATAAAAAAGGGAAAGAAGGAGAAAAACGCGATGCGCAAATGTGAAAAGCTGTAAAAACTTGTGTTAGAAAAAAGGTAAAAAAGGCGCACACATGTAACAGTATAAACATGTCCGTCGGCGTTCAAAACCGTTTGACAATATGGAGAACGATAGACAGTGGAAGATACGCAATCTAAGAAACGAAGCGCTTCTGTTAAGTGGGTGGGGACTTGAAACATGGAATGTTACTTCACTGTCAGCTGCACAGATGATCAACTTGGCGCGCGCGGGTCAAAACAAGTATTGAAGTCCCCATAGGATCTGTTCTCTCTGCTTATTACGTGAATCCTTAGAATATGGAGACAGACATTGAAAATCAACGTAGTTTTTTTATTTTATACACTGTTTATTTCTCTTGCACAAAGAAGTGAAACAAATAAGTACGATAGAAACTGCACTAAATTGTTCAAGGCTTTAAGTAAACTACGCGCTAAACAGAGACACTAAAATGAACCCATTTACTTCCAAGACTGATTATAGTTTAAATTCTCCTCACAAAATTAATACACCCACAAAAATGGTGTCAAGAATTAAAGAAAATCAAAGCTGGAGGAAAATTTTATGCTATAAACGTGATGCTACATCGAACTCTAAGAAAGAAGTAACAAAGAAACACATTCTTATCATCTGAAAGAATTTGTCTTCTGGGAGAATTTGTCTTCAGAACTTGGGAGTTCATGAGTTAATTAAACTAAGGTAAATGAACAATTATCTTCAACTGTAAATAAAGATAGCATCAAAATACTTCACATGAAATTCACCGACATTATACATTGGTTAAAAGCGTTCCACCTTGTCTTGTTTTTAAAATCCTACGTTACATCATATTCAACCATGTGCAAGGTTAACTATTGCATTTTCTACCGGCATATACCAATGGTAGTTACGAAAATCTGCAAAATTAAGATTGATTTTACAAAAATTTCTTCTAACACAGCTGTGATACATATATCTTAAATTTTCTTAAACTTTTAATTACCACAATAACTAAGATTTCTAAATTACAAAGATATTATCAGACATCTTCAAATTATACTAAGGTAAATTTCTCTGAATACCTAAGTATAAAAATTCTTAAATTTCTATGAACTCTCCTTAATTACTCTTTTTTTCAATTGCTTCTCTGATTTATGGACGTAAATATTTTTTAAATTACATGGACAATTTTTAAAGCTATGGACCTCTCTGTCGTGATTCTTTAAAACCAACAGATAAGTGTTTCATAAAACGGACTAAAATTGACCAAACTCGTTTGATTAAAATCAGGGTTGTAGCCAGCTTTTAGGCTTATTGAAGGCCTGTTCCCTTCGAAATTTCAATTTTTGTTTCAACATTAGTAAGAGTCAGATTGTCAAAGTCAAGCGGGCAGAAAACAATTGTAGCCCGGGCCTACAGGAATAGAGGCTGGCTACACCCCTAAAAGTAGATCTTATGTCTCTAAAATATGGTCGGCAAATCCAATAACATTATCACAGATGTTTACTTCTTCAAATTAAGCTTAGAATGGCAGTCTTGGCAGTGATAGAATTAGATTGCATTAAAATGGATCGAAAAAAGTAATAATAATTTTTTTCTTGTAAAGTTAATGTCAATTCGTGACAAAGAAATTTTTGGTGTAGAAAAACCATCCAAGTTTAATCAACGTACGGCTGCGAATTTTGCAGATCAAAATTTTGAAATAAAAATGTGCCAACTTTTGCAAATGACGAGCTGTTTCTTTGCTTATCAAAAGCTTAGAGTATAAACGTAATTAAAACCTGATGGACTAGCTCCTGGTTATGTAAAATCAAAAACCTTTTTAGAGGCTTTTAAATGGTTTTTAAAGGTTTCTTTGTTTTTGTATGGAAAACAATTTAAAAATTGTATTCACAAGCATAAAATTTGTTAAAGTACGAAAACAAACAATTCCATTGATCAAACCGTTATGAAACCATCTGTTTTTATTTCCTCACAAAAGTAAAGTTACACATCTCAAGTTCCAGTTAAAGAAAAAGTAAAAAGTTAGGAAAAATAGCCAAAAATTGTCAAAATAGAGAAACATTTAAAACTTCCAAGTTCCTGCGTCATTCTTTTTGAGATGAAAAAAAAATTGATTTATGTGATTTTATATTCAAATTCTATCTTTCTTTTGCCATGAAGTCAAGACTGACGTCATCTCCAATCAGTAAAAAGGGCGCCCAGAATTTGATGTCGCGGAACTTGGCTGATTCTCTGAGGCTTCTCATAGCCAGGTTCAGTGACTCGCTTGCAGATTTTCCTTCAGCAAGGTGTTGATAAAAGCATTTCATGAACTCGAGAGTAGCCTCGTCATCAATCGCCCACAGGGACACCACAACAGACCGGGCACCAGCCCCCATAAAAGCGCGCGCAATGCCAACCACACCTTCAGCCTTGATCTCGCCCCGACCACTGTGGCAGCAACTGAGTACAACAAGTTTGGCGCGAAGTTGAACATTCAACACATCTTCAATTGTTAAAATGTAATCTTCCTCCGTTGGCACATTAGATCTTCGTTCTGGGTCAGGTGTAAGAGCAATTTCGCCTGTTTCCATACATCCGTGTGCCGCAAAGTGAACTAAGGAAACGGAACAGAGTCTTTTCAACACCTCGCGTTTCGTGGCCTGTCTGCCAGTGATTGGCGTGATATTCAGAATTTTTCCGATCAACTTTACTTCTTCTTCAGCAGACGGAAGCTGCTCGAGGAGTATCTCCCCTTTGCTGTCAGTAACCTCGACCACCCACGGGTTTCCTACAAGTAATGCACCACTGCTTTTGTGATAATCATCTGGGCAATCGGCAATTAGTCTAAGACTTATTAACGATGGAGCGAGTCGAATTCTGAACGATTCGCACAGGTATTTAGAATTTCCATCCTTGAATGCAGCGTAAGGAGCGAGCCACAGGGGTCCATCGGGAATAATGAGTAGCTCATTCCCTTGAACCAGGTCAGCCACCGGCTTCATAACGGTATCATACAACAAGCTCAGACATTCGTTTTGTTGGATGGGAGGTTGAAGGTTGTCTTCTTTAGTTTTCTCATCCACTTTTGAACGGCTCTCCCTCAAAGCATCTAAAGATCGGTTCTCGCATCTCTTATTAGAACGAACACCAAGTTGTGTATAAACACCGAGCATGAACGACTCAGAGTACTGGCTGGCTCCACCATTCTCTGAAACAGAACCATTGAGTTTACTTTGTCTTAACTGAACTTGTTTTCCTTCAGACACAACCCAAAGATTAATGTCAGCTTTGTCCACTGCCTGAAAGACGGTGTCTGATGAAACGTTCTTTAAAACTGCTAAAATTTCATCGCCTCTGTTGTGCTGACTTGTTCCACCACAAAAACTGGATTCCATGAGGTCGGTCAGAGCTTGAGCTCGTCCTTTCTCAGCAGCAAATAAGGCTTCAACGATATTACCTTGTTCTACGAGAACTCTACTCAAACGTGTATACACGTCTTGATACTGATCTCGAAAATTAACTTTCCACTCATCTTTAGATTTTAGAAGTATTCTCAAGGAATTGCTTAAGTCTATACTAGTTTGGTAATGTTCAACGGCTTTTGGCAGTCCACCCTGCAACTCAAAAACACATCCTAATGAATAGTAGGCCATAGCCTCTAAGGATTTGTCTTCCACCTCTTTGGCAATTTTGAGCGCTACGTTGTATAAATTGTTGGCCTTTATCAAATCTCCCAGAGTTAGATAAGCATTTCCAAGATTGCCATTAGCAACACCCTCCCCACGCTTGTCTCCTACTTCCTTGGCTATTTTAAGATTTAGGTTGTGGTACTCTATGGCTTTTTTGAAATCACCCAGACGGTTATAAGCATTGCCAAGATTACCATAACCTATACCCTCCCCATACTTGTCTCCTACTTCTTTAACTACTTTAAGATTTAGGTTGTAGTACTCTTTGGCTTTTTTGAAATCACCCAAATGGCAATAAGCATTGCCAAGATTACAATAACCTGAACCCTCCCCATACTCGTCTCCTATTTCTTTAACTGTTTTAAGATGTAGGATGTGGTACTCTATAGCTTTCTTAAAATCACCCAGACAACAATAATCACTACCAAGATTGCTATTAGCACCACCCTCCCCATGCTTGTCACCTACTTCTTTAGCTATTTGAAGATGTAGGTTGTGGTACTCTATGGCTTTTTTGTAATCACCCAGACACTCATAAGCATTGCCAAGACTGCCATAAGCATCACCCTCCCCATGCTTGTCTCCTACTTCTTTAGCTACTTTAAGATATAGGTTAATGTACTCTATGGCTTTTTTGCAATCACCCAGACTCCGATGAGTAATGCCCAGGTTACCATAAAGTTTACCCTCCCTATACTTGTCTCCTATTTTTTTCACTATTTTAAGAGCTAGGTTGAGGTAATACATTGCTTTTTTAAAATCACCCAGACACCGATACGCAACCCCAAGATTGTTGTATGCGTCGCCCTCCCCATGCTTGTCTCCTACTTTTTTAGCTATTTGAAGATATAGGTTCTGGTACTCTATGGCTTTTTTAAAATCACCCAGACTCCCATAAGCATTGCCAAGATTGCAATAAGCATGACTTTCCCCACGCTCGTCTCCTTCTTCTTTAGCTATTTGAAGATGTAGGTTGTAGTACTCTGTGGCTTTTTTGAAATCAGCCAGACTGCAATAAGCATTGCCAAGACTGCCATAAGCACCACCCTCCCTATGCTTGTCTCCTACCTCTTTAGCTAATTTAAGATCAAGGTTGTGGTACTCTATGGATTTTTTTAAATCACCCAGTTTGTAATAAGCATTACCAAGATTGCCATAATTGTTACTCTCCTCATGCTTGTCTCCCTGTTTATAGAAGTCTATGACTTTCTTGACATCACTTGAACTTGTATTACCATGGTCATGGCTAATATGATCTTTTTCCTCCATGAACTTATCTCTCACTTCTTTGATAGACTGCATTCTTAATGACAACAAGATCCTATAATTTTTGTCAATCTTCTTCTATGTTAAGGTTTAAAAATGTGGAAAAAACAAAAAATGATTATTTTTCTGATCACATTGGTATAATAAATAGGCCAGTTTTACAGCTGCTTGCTTGGTTCCCAAGCCTTTGAACAGGAGTGTGGCTAGAGGTGACCTGGTTATGACACAAACGTTGCCGCTTTTAAATGCAAATTACTTTATTATTTATAATACCGGTACTCACTAGATACTGGTCTCTATCACAACAAGGTCACCTTCAGTCTCACTCCAAATCAAAGGCTTGGCAACTAAGTACACAACTGTAAAATTGCCTATTACATGTGGGAAGGCTTGCGTTTAAAGTAGATATTTAATCAAAATTCAGTCTCTAGTAGTAAATCTACACATCACAAAGAGTTTTCTTTCATGCACTACCTCAAATTTTAATGCAAAATATCTAGGTATAATTTCTCCTTTCGAAAAACCAGGAAGCACTTACTCAATTTTTAAATTAATATAGAGCTTTAACATCATTAATGATTTACAGCAGAAGAAGAAATGAGTCTAGAAGACTAATATGTGCCTTTGAAAGTTCTATTTGTCCATAGGAAAATGTGACGAAAGTTTACTAGTCTCTTAGTTATAGAAAAAATTTAAAGGGGAGAAAATTAGCATAATATATATAAACATTACCAAGCTTCTTTTTCTGGCTCATTTCGGAGAGATCATCTACCCAAATACCATGTATAAACTGGGTGAATTTAAGTCTTTTAACTAAACTAATGTACCAGCTGTGGCATGGATAGTATGGCTTGGTCATGGCTCAATTGAGCGTATCACTATTAAGTTATGACCTATTTACTTTTTCCACATTTTTTAATCACACACACTGAAAGTATGAGCTGACAAGTTCCCATCATAACTAATACCCTTCTTCAAATCAGTTTTCTCCCTTAAAATGTCAAATTATGGAACATTTCCATTACACCCAAGGTTAAGAATTTAAGATTCCTTAAAAGGATACAGCTAATCCCTTATCACACCAAGTAATTGCTTCTTTGAATCTCTTCAGGTCAACACAAGCAGTGGCTCCTGTAGGCAACAACACAAAGAAGCATATAATTAATGTAGCTCAATAGCCAGAAACCTGATTGAAAGCTAAATCATTTCAGACCATGAAAAAAAAAACATATTTGCTTCTGATAATTGAAACTTATCTAAGAACATTTGAATTGGGACTGACAATTCCCACAAAATCACTAAGAGATATAGATAGAATATAATACATGCAATGGGAGAATGGAACAATGAAACCCATTTTTTAAGATTTCTATAGTATAGTACATTTTTTAGTTAATCTTTTTAAAAATAGGTTAAATACAAATTAAAAAAAAATATATATATTTATATTTGATAATAATCCTAGATTCCTTTTTGTTTGAGTCAACATACTTGATTGAATCAATCAGTTGATAATTGATTTCTGGGAAGTGACTCAAACTAAAGTTTGAAGTTCACCAAGAATAAGATTTACTCATGCAGTCTCTTTAATTACATTATTATTACATGTATTTAATAGCACTTGAAGTTGAGTTATACTTGATGAATGAGGAATGTTTCCTGACAGTTAAGTTAAGTTAAGTTAAGTTAAGTCCTTACTTCTTTTCAAAACAGCTAGACAGTGACTAAACATATCTGACACCACTACCTCACTCACTGAGCAAAAGGAAACTAAAATACTCCTGCTGAAATTTTGCTGTGCATTGACAGCATTGAGATCTTCGTCCAACTCAAAATAGTATTCTCATCATAATGGAAAGTCATGGCACAGCAGTCAAGAACTGGATTCAAATGTACATCAGGGTGGTCTTGACCTCTTAATGAAAGTCAATTGAGACAAGATATAACTTCATATAACCTTAGAGTGTTAAGTTCTTTGTTTAATTATTATTATTATCGCACAGCTAACATTTCTAACCTCTCACAATTGCCTTGAGGAAAGTTGGATTTAACTCATTGGCGGCTTCTGCATCCCTCAGTGAATCCTGGTGATTTCCTGTTTGAAAATAAATATCTCTGATTATCTGTTCATGTGGCAAACCCACCACCTATACAATAACTTAAGGAAAAACTTGTGAATTGTATGTTTGAGAGGCCAAGATAAGGCATATATTTTTTTTTCGGATTTTTTATTTTTAGACATATATTCAAAATTATCACCTTTTTCAGAAAAACTACTGAAAGCCCTTGCTGAGGACAGAAAAATGCATATTAAAGCTCTCATCATCTTACCAAGCTTAAAATGTGCAATAGCCCTGTTGTTGTACAGTTTGGCCTTCAGTTCTTTCTCATTGCAGTTCATTCTAATTCCTTCTGTGTAAAAGTGAATAGCATTGATGAAATCTCCTTTCTTGAAGGCCTCATTACCCTCATTCCTATAAATATCAGCTGTGGCTGCAAAAAAAAATTAAAAAATAATTTATGTCAAAATCTGTGGTTGTAGTTAATTAGTGTATAAGCAAGCTGCAAAGATCTGGAGATTTAAAACCTGCAGATTTTTCCTTTTGTGTCAGCTGCCACTTCTGCACCTGCCTGACTTGAAGCATCCCCTGAAAACCTTAGATGATGTCTACAGTCTCACAGATGGCCCCACTCACAGGACAAACCCCACTCAGTTAGTTTATGAAAGACTTTTTTCGGTTGGAAGCTCAACCAATCAGACTCAGTTGCATGCTGTTATTGTCCAGGAGAAAGCATAATCCCCTCTTTGGAACCCAAAATCTAAGTGCAATCAAGAAAATTAAGATAAGAACCCCAAGATAACCATAATAAAATTGGACATGGGAAATCTGGAGTTCAAATGTTATATTTCTGTGAGGAAGTGACCCAAATCCTCATTTTTCTTGAAGGTTTGAAGACCCATGTGGAAGACCAAGAGTCTTATTCTGTTTCTGTGAGCTCTGATAATCAGAGAGTTGGCAAAACTATAAGTGTAAAAGAGTCTACTGCTTTCATTACATTTAGATGGTTAATGTCAGTCAATAAGATCCAAATGTTGCAATCATACAAACCAGAAGCAGTATTACCTATAGACAAATAGTTATGATATAAATGATAAGAATAATATTAAGATGAGATTAATATTTATGATGATGCTAATAATGATGAGAATTAAGTGTCACTCAATCTGAAGCAAACCCCTTGGCATTTAAACTTTTGGAGATCAGTTTCTAAAAATTCCTATCCCTTGGGCAAAATACGGGTTTAAATGCCCCACACAAATTTTTGTAAAAAGCAAAATAATTAGCAACTGTGACTTTCAACAATTGACCAAGCTTTAAAACTGAGAACTTGTGCACTTATTTATTCTGAGCCATTTGTTAGTGAAAGTGCACTTAATGTACCTTAAACACCTCCATATTCTATGATATATAACAGTTGCATTGTAGTGGAAAGTCTTGACACTTCTGGTTCAAATTACCCAATGCCAGTCAGGCAAGGTTCAATCTCCCCCCTCCTCCCCCCCTCCCCTTTGCCTTGGATGATGATCAAAAGCCTGTGGGTTGCTCGAGGAGAAGGGAGGGGATGTTGAAGCTTTCAAATTGACTGCTGCATTATAATGAGAAGATGATGATGATGATGGTACTTTGTAATGATGCAAACTTACAAAATGGATGCTGTATGATGATCAAATTAAGTCTTTACTTATTATAACTTTGTGTACTTGCTTTGAACTTTTAGAAAAGAAAATAACAAAGGTTTCTGTGTCATAGATCCTTCTCAATGAACAGCATAATGTAATCATAGAAGAGAGTCATGACTGGCCAAATATCCTTTAAAGTGGTCATACACTGTATATATCCTTCTTTACATTTACTTACATTCTTGAAACTGGTGGAATAGAAATTTTTCTAACAATAACTGAAGCCAAAGTTCAACATAGCTCACCTCGTAAAGTGTCCTCATCAAAATCTGGTGCATTTTCTTTGTCAGGTAAGTCTTCATTTTCAAATGGCACTTTAATTGGACTTCTTCCTGTAGCCATAGCAACTGTAAGAAGATTCTTCTTACAAAGTTGCTGTTTTAAGTTATGCTGGCCTGAAGAAAGGATGGTTGCAAATGGTAACAAACATCAACTCAACATATTACCTAAAATAAATGTTTTTTCCCTTTTGGGAATGGGAAGGATACATAAACACAAAATCACAAGCAATTGATATTAATGACATTACTAAAGCAGAAAAAGAACAAAAGATAATAATATATATATTGAAGAAAACAAGCATTTATTTTTGAATGAACAGTAATTCACTTCTCATTATGATACATTTCAAGATTTATAAAGTACATTCCCAATTGACTGAGATAAATTGGTTAAACATCAACATCTTTGTGTTGCAAGTTCATATAATTTGTTACAGAAAACAAAACATATCTTGATTAGCAGATGACAAAAAGTAAAACTTTACTCCGGTACCAATCAATCATTACCAGTTGATGAATTGGATTCCTAAAAATCGAAAGCAGTTAATTGAAAGGACGCTTGCTATATTGAATCACTAGCTGACATTTGAAGAAGAATCGATTTGTCTCAATATTAAACAAGGAAATCAGTATAACAGTACAGTTTGGATGGAGAATATAAGTGGTCTATCCAAAATACAAAATTATTTTCAAACTATAAAATAATAAACATAAACATATGACATACACTGGACATGTTTATCGTTTTTTGATCAAATACATCGTAAATACAGGAGCAAATTAATTTATACAAATATACGCCCTATACGAAAGCTTGTGCAATTAAAACACGATTGTAAGCAATTGCTCCACATGAGACGCAAACGAAACTGAAAGTGTTTCGATCATCAGCGCTTAATTGCACTAAATCAAATCGATAATTTGGAAATTCCTTTTGGCCTACCTGCAGAATACCCCGCCACTCTGGTCCACCTCATTCACATGTGTCGGGAGGCTTTGGAGATCGAGGCAATAAACGTCATTCTTATTCGACTTATTCAATGACATGTAAATGAGTGGCAGGGCATTCTGCAGTTGCTCCGACAGTTGTAACTTGTTCAGACAAGCTCAGCTTAATTAGCTTTTAAGTAACAGACGTGTTACATGTGCAACAACAATACAAAAATTATTGATACACGCCAGAATTAAGTAAAAGTTAGCCATCCTCGTCAGTTAACGGCAGGAACGTCTTCCATTGCCGGAAATCAGAGAAAATTAGGAAAGATTAAAAACATTTGATAGAGAAAATGTTAACTGAGAAACTCGAAATAGAGGTATTTACCATATAGTCAAAAATCTGATACAACCATGCGTTCTTACCTCGTCGCGGAAATGAAAGGCAAGTTTGACTGTTTAAGAGCCTCGCTTCCTCACCCCGACTTGGAAATGATTCAGAGAAAGTCAATAAGACTAATAAAGTGCCAAGAAACACTCGGAAGCTACGTTATAGAACGAAGAACCTCAATAGCACGTCGTGAAAACAAAAGGAAAGATCGTTCGGCCCATAACTCTGTGCAAGCTTGAAGCCGGAAGTGCTTCAGCTGAAATTGAAAGAAGAGCCCGTAATTCGGCTTTTTCATTTGTAAACAAAGTCTGAAGTTTGGCCAAATTATTGCTTTGAGGTTAAAAAAGCTGTTACTTTCATGCATCGCAGTCTTTCAATATTGATAAATATTAAAAACATAGTAAAGAATGTTATAACTTTTTTTACATGGAAATGAAAGAGGAAAGGTGAATTTCTAACCGACACTAAACCCTAAAAAAAATTGATCTACATCATAAAGAACTCCCGGAAAGGTTTAAAGATAATTTATTTGCAATAGTTACAAATCAAAATTACGACGAGAACAAACTCATAAAAACTGACTACACAAAGTTTTTATACACATAAGAATTAAAATATTTCTCGTGCACTTCTCGCGTTCTTCTAAGGTCCACTACATTTTTACATCTCACTTTTACCTGTTCTCGTTAGCAATCTTTACATAACACAGAGGGGTAAGTCTTTCTAAAATTACAAACAAATTCATTTCAGAATATATTCATAAACATTTTGCTGCAGCGAGAACATAAACTGTTATTTATCTTAGTCTCATTTTGTGATTGCATACCCTTTAGAGGACTTTAGAGCCCGGAGGGTTTGTGGCACCGCACTGGTTCAGGGGATACGTTTCAAGTGTTTTTTCCCTTAAAGAACTTTTTGGATTTTCTTTATCTGGCAGTGACATACCCGAGTATTTTCAAGAGTTGTGCAGTATTTTGACGAGGCCGTAGGGCGAGTCAAAATTTAAACAAGGAGTGAAAATACTAATCAATACTACACACCAAAAAGTCTTATAACCTATTTATTATCCAATTGCTTTTTTTATCCTGCCAAGTCTTTCTGCTCATTTCTCATAAGGCGGGAAAAGTAAGGCGGATAAAGAAACGCAGTGTGCGCAGCCAACCGCCTAAACAGATTTTTTTACTCTACAAAATAACCAACGGTACACATATGGGATATATATTCACGTTATTTGAAACAACTTTGTGCAGTTGGATTATAAACCAAATTATCTTGTTGTACCCCTCACCGTTGCAGCACCAAAGTTTCCTTACCAACTAAACCCATTTATTCATACGTTGCTGATACGTTGTAATAATCCGTTGTTGATGCGAGGCCAAAAGCAACCAATATAAACCTAATAGACTACATTTGGAGTAGAAATCTCCCAAAAGCTTAGCATACTTTGTATATGCTTCACATAACATTAATCTCTCACTTTCATACAATCAGCTATATTTTGTATGATTATATCTCATTTATACATGTTTCCTTATCCCTCTGCACACTAAGCTTAAGAGGTAAATCTTAGAAACACAATCAACAAGCATTCCTTCGAAATAAGAGAAAACGAGTAGCTTCGGGGACAAGAGTGGGTACCCTGTGATTTTCCTTTCATTTCTTACTCCAAAGGAATGTGGTTACAAAGGATGTTCCTGTCGTCGGTGAAAAGCTTTTCCCAAAAGAAACTCATTAAGGAAATTCTAAAAGTGGTGGTGCCAAAAACTGCCAAAAGTGTGTTTATAGTATCCATATCCAAGGAGTTCTTATCTGTATATGCTCTATGCATCTCGTGGATTTTCACACTCACAGCCAAAAGGGTAGCCATAAGATTGATAAGGGTAACAACGAAAAATACGAAGACCGTTATTTTATAAATAACAAATACGTAAATGGGATCACTCTGCTTCAAAAAATTTAACTTGGTGTAATTTAGAAATCCTACAGCCAAAGTTCTGAGAATATAACTTACTATCAAGAAAAAAATTATGACCCGAGATGATGAAGACTCGATA